AGTGCAAAAGAGAATTAGGTTTCCTTCTGTTTTACCTCTTCTGATGTTTCTCCTCTTATATATTTCATGTTTACTAATCACATTTTCGATTGGTTTTGATTGTAGGCGAAATTCTAAATGGAAAAGAAACAAAAAAAGAGATTAGTTCAAGTCTATTATGCAGTGTCACCATCTGCAAATGTTTCGGTCAATGTCAATGGTGTCATAATCAAAGTTTCAGAAGATACGGGACGGAGGTCATAATCAAACTATCAAAGCAAGTGAAGACACGATTTGCAAAAGCCATTCATCTAAAGGTGACCATAATTTTTTGTATCTGATTTGCATCTTCACCTTTTTTATCATCAAATACTAACGATTTATTGTGATGAGTTTTAACTGTTACAATGGATATACAAAAACAGATATATAAATGCAGGTTCAGCTTTATATTTGGACAGTGAAGACACAATTTTGTCAAACCAATTAACTAAAGGTTAGTATAATATTACGTTTCTGTTCGACTTGCATCCCAATCTTTTTATCATTACAATACTTACTATTTATTGTGAGTTTAGCTGCACTATGTTAAACGAAGTTTTGAGCATCTCAGTTTTTTTGTAATTCAGGCTTGCATCAGATCACAAATCTTCATACATCTGAGTTTTTCTCAACGTTCTTTCGTATGACGGCAGTAAAAACTCCTTTTCAATGGACATGTTTGAAATTTTATCTCATAGTCAGCTCTACGAGGCACTATCAAGAGCTATATTCAAGAAAGTCTTAAAATTCTAATCGTCGACAAACAGGGGGAGCCCCGGAAGCAAACTGCTAACATTGTTTCAAAGAAGTTTTTCAGAATTTGGGTATCTAAGACATGTTAATCCACTTCTGTTATCAATCTTTTAGCTTATGTCTTTTTTAGAGATTTAAATAAATACCATTTTCGGGAATGGATTATCTTTAAAGAAAGTTGGTTGCGTTTTAAAAGTTGTTTCGAACTTGAAACATTAATCAAAAGTCGCACACTTTTATATGTGCGTTCAGTGCCGGCCCAATATGATTTTGCGCCTAAAGCAAAAAAAGTTTTGGAGCCCATCTAAAAATATAATTTTTAAAAAAATCAACCAAATACGCAGGTACTGGATTCGAACCCTTGAACAATAACCTAAACTTAGAAGAACATAACCACTGAGCTACAGATAATTTTATGACATTTGGCGCCCCTAAATTGTTAATATTCTTTGGTGCCTAAAGCACAATGCCTCTTGTGCTTTAGCCCAGGGCCGGCCCTGTGTGCGTTTGTTTATGAGCAATACATCTACAATCATGGATTTATTAACACAAACAATTTTCTACTGGAGTTTATACAAAGTTGAGTTCGTGAGGAATTTTCGGAGTTAAGCCTATCTAAAACTAAACTGACTAATTTAAACATTTAAACATTGATCATGATATACCTTGAGTTAAAGTCATTTTGAAAGTACAAAGAAATTACAGATTTTTACCAGGAGTATCTTTAACATCTAATATTTCCTACAAAATCACACAAATGATAAAAACAACCTCAAGACTTCTCAAGAATTACGGAATACTAACCTTATAGCCTCCTTGATGTCTAGGATTCATTCTTCTAGGAAATACATAGAAACAATCTGATCAATCCAATTCGAAGATCCCTCTTTCAAAACCTACCAAAAACAATGCTTGTTCTTAGTAACAGTCTAACTATTGGGACTGAAGATTAAATAATAGTTATAGTTGATATGCAAATATACCTCTGATTAGCTACTATCAAAACAATTAACAAAGAGTGACCAATGTCAAATTGACAGATCTTAACATTCTAACGATCTAAAACCCACGAAATTAGGTTCTACAGATAAATCAAATATGGATCCATAATATAACCTAATTGAGTACGAGTGTGGAAGAAAAACAAATTTAGAAGTAAGAGAATGCTTAACTGATGCGTCGAAGGATGAAGGCGACTGTGACATATGAGATGGGGTCGAGAGGAAGAAAGGAGTGGAAGCTCCAAACGATGACAAGAATTAGCTCGAAAGGCTCCACCGATATCAGAGACAAAGCGATAAGAAGAAATTTGCCCAGAAAAAGTAATCAATTTCAGTAAAGCGAATAAAAATTTCAGATTGAGAGAATGGAGAGTTTGTCAAGACCCGGACAAGAAGAAACTCTAAAGTTTTTTTTCTACAGGCCAATGCTTTATTTTACTTATTTTGTCAATCAGACCAATGTACCTATGTGTCGCATTCATATTAGATTGCTAAATTGCATACAAATTATAATTATTATAAAGTTGTTGAAAATTTTAACAGTTATGGCATGATTTTTGTAGCGGAGTGAGTATTTTAACATTTCCTGAATTTTACTCATCAAAAGGAAAATAAACAAGAGATCATGAAAACAAATGAGTTGAATAATTTAATTAACAGGTTGAATAATTTATGTGGATTAAAAAAAATTATGAGGTTGAATAATTTTATGTGATATATCACTACTATTTGAGATATACATTTTTAGAGAAACCCGATAAAACCTCTTAATTACGAAAATACCACTGGAATAATGAGTCAAAAGTGTTTGAAAACACGATTAAGAAGAGTAATTTCGGAGGAAAAGTACCGAGTTAACCAAAAATTGTTTGGCCCGCACATTATGCGGGTTAATTTTGGACACATGTTGGATAATGTTTTACTGATTGATTAATTGTTTTTATGGGTATAATAACTTTCTTTTGTGGGTTAGTAATATCCGGGTTAAATAATTTTAATTTACAAGTTGAATAAGTTATACGGGTTGAACAGTTTTCTTTTACAAGTTAAACAAAAAAATTATGTTGAATTTGTTTCTTTCACGGGGTGAATTTATTTTCGAATTGAATGGTTTCTATTATATATTAGATGTTAGATAATTTGTCAAGAGTGAATAACTTTTTTGGCGTTTAAAATAAGTTTTACAAATTAAATAATTTTTTTACGGGTTGAATATGTTTATTTCACATAATGATTTGTTTGACACATGTTGGATAATGTTGTACTTTTACGAGTTGAATAATTTTAATTTACAAGTTAAATAAGCTTTTTCCGTTGAATATGTTTTTTTTTCACGGGGTGAATTTATTTACGAATTGATTGGTTTCCATTATATATTAGATGTTAGATAATTTGTCAAGAGTGAATAACGTTTTTGGCATGTAAAATAAGTTTTAGAGATCAAATAATTTTTTTACGGGTTGAATATGTTTATTTCACATAATGATTTGTTTGACACATGTTGGATAATGTTGTGTTGTTTGAATTATTGTTTTCACGGGTATAATAACTTTATTTTGTGGGTTTAGTAATATCCTTTTACGGGTTGAACAATTTTAATTTACAAGTTCAATAATTTTTTGACCGTCCAATTTGTTTTTATTCACAGGGTGAATTTATTTACAAATTGAACTGTTTCTATTATATATTAATTGTTAGATAATTGGTCAAGAGTTAATAACTAATTGACGTGTAAAATAAGTATTACGGACTAAATAATTTTTTCAAGGTTGAATGTATTTATTTCACATAATAACTTTTTGACACATGTTGGATAATCTTTTACTGTTTGAATGATTGTTTTCACCGGTATAATAATTTTCTTTGGTGGGTTTAGTAATATTCTTTTACGGGTTGAATAATTTTGATTTATAAGTTAAATACTTTTTTTCCTTTGAATTTGTTTTTTTCACGGGGTGAATTTATTTACGAATTAAACGGTTTCTATTATATATTAGATGTTAGATAGTTTGTCAAGAGTTGATAACTTTTTCGGCTGTAAAATAAGTTTTACATATTAAATGATTTTTCTAAGGGTTCAAATAATTTTCAATTACATATTAAATAATATTTTTTTTCACGGATCGATAGTTATATTTCACAAGTCGAATTTGTGAATTAGGTTACTCCATGTCTTATGTCCTTTTTACCAGTTTTTATGTTTTACAATTTTAACATTTAACAGTTCTATTTACATTCAGATTTTAATATTATTATATACTATGTTTGAATGATTAGAATTATTATCAAATTTAGTATACATTGCAAAATATACATTATCACAGAGTAACTATGGCGACCAAGTCTATTTCGTCAATTGTTAATTTATAACCGAATCGCCACATTAATCTAATTATAATTTATAAACTTATGAAATTTTACTAATTTGTTCTTGCACACAACAAAAAATATAATAATTGTTTTATAATTTTAGAAATCGTTTCTCCCGCACATTTGTGCGGGTTAAATCCTAGTTATAAAATCATTTAGAAAGTCATTTAAAATCCCATAAGAATCATCCAAAATCCTCTCAAAATATTTTCTTAAATCTCCTTAAATCCCATCAAACTCTTTTAAAATCTCCTAAAATCTTTAAAATCACCTAAAATGCAAAATCATTCAAAAGCACCTAAAATCTTTAAAATCCCTTTTCCAATACACCCCCTAGGTGATTAAATCAAGCATTAGTTTGTTCAAGACCCAATTGTTCACAACCCCGCATAGTTCAACTTTCGCAGTCTATGAAGTGTTGCTCACCAAACACTTAGTTCAGGTTATATAGCAAGCCTTTTGGAGAGTATATGAAACCTAAGATCTGATGCTAGTTGATCAGAAAAGCAAGCATCAATGAATTCAAGTGAAGATGAAGATGAAGTATAATGAACCCTAGACGATTTCTAGCAACCTATCAAACCATGAACTCTTTGATAAATCTCACAACCTAACTAGTGGATTACTCATACATGATCAAAGCAATAACACATAAAGATGAAGAAAACATGATTGCATAAATCTCTAAGTATGAAAATCGTGACACAATGCGGCTCTCTCTCTCTCAAGAAGCTAAAAAGTTGTATTTATAGTGCTAGGTCTTCAGAGGCGGCATTAGGTCAAGCCGGGCCGTGAAAACGTGTGAAACGGGCTTAAAAATGGGCTTCGGGTCGACCGGACCGTTCAGACGGTCGGTCAGGACAATCGGCCGGCTATCGGGTCGTGGTCGGCTATCGGCACGGTCGGAACGATCGTGGCCGAGAGTTTTCGCGTTCGGCCGACGGGGTCGGACGGATGGATGATTTTGGGCCGGTCGTGTGACGAAGCCTTCCTGGTCGGACGGATAGATCGGCCGCGGGACGTGGTGTGTGCCGCGCGTCCGCGAGACATTGCTTCCCGGTTCGCGCGGCGCGGTCGTGCACGGCTTGTGGTGGCGAGGCAAGAACGGCTCGACCGCGGGTTGTTGCTTCCCGGGTCGGTACGTGAGCTCGGCCATGGACTTGGGGGACGTGGATGATGTGCGCGGGACGATCGCGGTATGTTTGTTCCTCGATCGGCCGGTGTGCGCGGCTCAGGATGCGAGCGCTCGATAAGGCTGTCTGGACCAGTCTTCACTAATTTGATCATAACTTCACTTCTACTTATCCAAATGATGCCAATCCAATTTCGTTGGAGATTTAACTCACTCAGAGCACACGGGTAACTGGTCTTGATGAAATCATTGAGTAGATCTTTTTCTGGGTCTTCTCAAAGTTGATCCTTGGGTATGGAGCGGCTTGAAGCGCCAATTCTATGGTTTTGCTCCAAAATGCATCATTTCACCTGTTTAGACTCTAAGTACTATAAATCCAATAAAACTACCTTTTTAGATAGAAAACCTGCCAAAAACCATTAGAAAACCATACTAAGATAGTATAAAAAGCATGTAAAATAGAGGTATATCACCACGTCAGCAAAATGGCTATATGAAAAGTTGTCACATTAGCATTATTTTTCAAGAGACTTTTAATACCTATAGTTTTGAATAGAATTTATATAGAATTGTCATTTATATAGTTGGGAACCAGAAGAGGTAAGGAGTCCAAACATTGATTTCATACTTACCCAAACATGGATTCATAGGTTCTCCACATTACTATGAGGACAAAGATGAAGTAAGGAGTCCGAAATGTACCTTTGTGCCTCTACATTGTGGAAACTCACTTGTAGTGTATAAGATGAACTAGATAGACACATACTTACTAAAACATGGATTAATAGCTTCTACACATGACTATGAGGACAAACATGAGTGAAACGGTCTCAATCCAAGGGAGAAACATCAAATGGACCAAATTTGGGAACCGGAAGAGGTAAGGAGTCCGAAATGTACCTCTGTCCCTCCACATTGTGGAAACTCACTTGTAGTGTATAAGATGAACTAGATGGACCCATACTTACCCAAACATGGATTAATAGGTTCTCCACATTACTATGAGGACAAACATGAGTGAAACGGTCTCAATCCAAGGGAGGAACATCAAATGGACAAATTTGGGAACCGGAAGAGGTAAGGAGTCCGAAATGTACCTTTGTGCCTCCACATTGTGGAAACTCACTTGTAGTGTATAAATGGAAGTGGATGGACCCATACTTACCCAAACTCGGACTCATAGGTTCTCCACATTACTATGAGGACAAACATGAGTGAAACGGTCTTAATCCAAGGGAGGAACATCAAATGGACCAAATTTGGGAACCGGAAGAGGTAAGGAGTCCGAAATGTACCTTGTGCCTCCACATTGTGGAAACTCACTTGTAGTGTATAAGATGAACTAGATGGACCCATACTTACCAAAACATGGATTAATAGCTTCTACACATGACTATGAGGACAAACATGAGTGAAACGGTCTCAATCCAAGGGAGGAACATCAAATGGACCAAATTTGGGAACCGGAAGAGGTAAGGAGTCCGAAATGTACCTCTGTGCCTCCACATTGTGGAAACTCACTTGTAGTGTATAAATGGAACTAGATGGACCCATACTTACCCAAACATGGATTCATAGGTTCTCCACATTACTATGAGGACAAACATGAGTGAAACGGTCTCAATCCAAGGGAGGAACATCAAATGGACAAAATTTGGGAACCAGAAGAGGTAAGGAGTCCGAAATGTACCTCTGTGCCTCCACATTGTGGAAACTCACTTGTAGTGTATAAGATGAACTAGATGGACCCATACTTACCAAAACATGGATTAATAGCTTCTACACATGACTATGAGGACAAACATGAGTGAAAAGGTCTCAATCCAAGGGAGGAACATCAAATGGACCAAATTTGGGAACTGGAAGAGGTAAGGATTCCGAAATGTACCTCTGTCCCTCCACATTGTCGAAACTCACTTGTAGTGTATAAGATGAACTAGATGGACCCATACTTACCAAAAATTGGATTAATAGCTTTTACACATGACTATGAGGACTGATATACCTCTATTTTACATGCTTTTTATATGTTTTTACTATGCTTTTCATAAGGTTTTTAATGGATTTCTGATCTAAAAAGGTAGTTTTTATGTATTTATATTACTTAGAGTCTAAACAGGTAAAAAGATGCATTTTGGAGCAAAACACAGGATTTGGACTGCATCAGTACATCAGACGAGCAGCAGCGGCTTAGACCCTTACACTCAATGGATTTCAATGAAACTCAACACCAAGATAGCCAGATGAGTTATTGTTCTAATTCCGTTGGAATTATGCAATTTGGATAAGCCGTTTAGGAGATATCACGTTTGTACTGAAGACTGGCCCACAGCCGGCCGAACGCACTCGGCCGGACAGGAAGGGTATTGGCTTCGCTCGGCCTTCTCCAGGACCGATCCGGCCGCACGACCGCACCGTCCGACCCGGGAGGCAATGGACCACGATCGACCGAGATCATCACATCACGGCCGACCAGACCGTGCGACCCGGGAAGCAAAGAACCGCGCTCGACCCGATCTCCGCGAACAAGAAGCCCACTTATGCAGTTTTGACTTTTATCAGCCCAATTAACCTAAACCGACTTGTGAAGACCTAGGGCACTATAAATACACTTTTTTAGCCTCATTAGAAGAGAGAGCCGCATAGAGAGTCACAAGAGAAGAGCTACAAGAGAGAGGCGCACTAGGGAGCTCCCCTTTGAGGGATCTTCCATTGTTTTACTTCTTTCTCATTGTTTTCCTTAGGGAGAAGATCCCTTCTTTGTATCTCGACATAGAGAAGCTTTCTGAACCCTTTTCTCTTTGTATTAATATGATTTCTATCTCAGATCTATGCTTGTTTACTTGCACCATTTTTGAGTAGATTTCTAGTTAGGTTTTAGGGTTTCAAAGAGTTCATGTGTTGATTATGATTTGATGATTAACTAGGGATATCATTAGAGTCTTTGTCTCGTTTTGCACACTTAATTAATGCTAATCACTTTACCGTACATCTAGTGATTCGATCTTAGGTTGATTTGAGCCTCGAAAGTGTTGTATCATTCGCCGGACATATTCTTTGACAAGCTAGGTTTCTTAGACTGCGACAGTTGATTTACTTAACCTAGTGAACTGTATCCGAACTTTCTCGATCTCATGCTTGATTTAATCACCTAGGGACATACCAAAAGTTTAGCGACTAGGTAGATTAACAAAGGAACCGGAGCCTCGACAGTGGAATGGTTTTACAATCGTGTTTGGTGTTCTAGACGGATCTTACATCCCATATCCCTAAATAGATATAAATCAATCATAAATCTTATCATATATGAATCTCTGCGAATTACCTATTGCCTAGCGTCTTTCCCACATTGAACTTACACCGCTTTCATATTGCTTTCTTTTAGTTTAGTTCTTTTGCATAACAAAACCCCAATTCATCCTTTTGTTCTAGCTAAGTTAGACTTGCATAGCTTGTAGTGCACTTATCTGCTCCTTGTGTTCGATAACCCGTTACTACACCTGACCTGTGCATTTGCAGAATCAGGGATAGTAATAGGTAAAACCTGATCCCGCATCAAGTTATTGGCGCCGTTGCCGGGGAGCAATCACAAGATCATGTCCCTTTAAGGCGTGCCCCTTACTACCAAGAAACCATTGGAGATTTTGCATGGGAGCAATCACAAGAAGTTAACTATCTAGATGACTTCATCTATCCTCCACACTTCCAGTACCAATCACCACGATTTCACCATCAAGGAAGTCAATTCCAACCCATGAAGCATTACAATCAAGAAGGCATGTACCCAATGAAGCAGCCTTACAACTTTCCTCCAAGCGCACCTCATCCGGTTCAGCAAAATAGTGTGATTCAAGCAATGCTTCAGCAGATTGTGGATGATCAAAAAGAGAGCACTAAGGAATTGGATGAGAGGATGGAAAGCTTGTTCAACAGTTTCATTGACAAGAACGAGTCTCTTGCTTGTCAAATCAAGAAGATTTACACCCATGTTGATAAAACCTATGAAGATTTGAAAAGACAAGAGATGGAGGAAACAAAATCTTTTTGTGAATTCATCTCTAGAAGGGAAGCTGAGTTCGTGCCAACCCATAAACCACCCCAAACTGCTGTTAACTTGGCTACAAGACCAGAGCAAGAGCATTACTCTTTGGACTCAACAAGAGGTTACAAGCCGAAGCCAATAGAGAAGATCTCTAACCCGGAGAAGCTTGATGTACCTTGCATCATTAATGGAGTTTTGTTCAAAGATTCCATATGTGATACAAGATCTCACATCAACATCATGAACAAAGGAATAGCCAAGAAGATTGGGATTGAAGTCAGGGATCCCTCAAAGATACCAATGCGATTCAAAGATGATCCTTATACTCTCTTCCATGGTTTCATCTCGGATCTTACACTATCCATAGGAGATCACGTCTTTAAGGCAGATTTCCACATCTTGGAGATGAAACACGACCGTGACAAGCCATTGAGTTTTGGTTTATCATTCCTTGAAGCCAATGGAGCAATCTTGGATCTTCAGAAGCAAAGAATCTCTCTCTCCAAAATCAGTAAAGCCATGTCCTATCCGGCGGTTCCTATCAAGAGCTCTCATTCTGCAGATGTGTGCGCTAGAGAGGAACCACTATCAGAGCCTAATAATGACCAAGAGGAGTTGATAGACGTCATATCAGCAGCCCCGGTCATCATATCTAAGGAAATTGCCATACCGGCAAAGGCAAACTGCATTAAGGTTTCAAGTGTCTCAAGCAAGATTTTGACACCAAGGGAGTACAAGGAGGACGTGATTGATGCCACACCACAGCCTATAAGAACTTCAAGATGCTTCTCTAAGTTCAGCTTTGATTTCCAGAATAAGGAAAACAAAGAACCCTTCAAGGATGGGCTGCACAAGAAGAGGAAACTCTTTACTGGTGGTATTGTTTCTTGCAACTACATTCAAGACCTTCAAGATGTCCATAGGAGGAGTTTCAAACGGTCAGGTCCAGAATGTAGAGAAGCTAAAGGAGCCTCAACTCTTCTATTTGATCAATTGGTCAATTAGAAAGAGAAAGAGTCAAGCTAAAAGACTTTAAACAAGCGCTATATGGGAGGCAACCCATAAGGTGTTTTCTTTTCCCTTTTTACTTTTTGTTTTAGTTTAATGGTTTTTGTTTTGTTTTTGAAGTTATGGATACAGAGATTTGAGAATCTAGCATGAAATTTGAGAAGAAACCTCGAAAAATGAAGAAAGGAGACAAAACCATGAAAGTGTCCCACCCAAAGTCCCACCCTTGTTCAAGGCGAAATCCCACTACAGGTAAGTAAATTCTTCTCCAATATTTCATTCATGACCACTACTACTCTTCACTTCATAAGCATTTGAACCATTGCACTTCATTAGTTACATTTCATGGTCTAAATCGCTTTAAAATTTAATGGTCATTGAATGAAATATATCTCTACTTGTCAAACTTATATTATGCAATGAATTCACATAGACTAAACTATAATTTGAAGTTTGGGATCACTAACCAAGACCCAAAAATATGTTTATAGTTTTTACCTTAATCTCTTGGGTTGTGAACTTCAAGCTGGTTACTTGAGGGTCTCAATCTAAGAACTATCTAATCAGTGATTTCAAGTATTTTGCAAGGATTAAATTACTTGACAGGAAGGATATCAAGAAGAAATGCTATAGCCGACCACAACCATCATACCTATGGAGGTTTAAGGAAGGTTTCAAAGGAGGAACATACCCAATCCCAAGGAACAAGGCGCGCACCACATGGGAATGATAAATAAGAGTTAGAAAATCACTTTGGTCGAAGAAAATCTCAATTGGCCCGAGTGGATTTGAAGCAATTCCAACCGGCCTATTTCTCTCGGCCATGGCACATGCATGGAGAATCAATCTCGGCCAACTCCTCAACCATATGTTCGAAGTCCACCAAACTTCACAGGCAACCATAAAATCAAATTTTGGTCGGCATATCCAAAAGATAGGACGGTGAAATGTTCACGGTTCAGGAGATATACAGAAGAGCCCCATCCGGTCGTCCGCGGTGCAACCAAATGGCCGACAAAACCAAATCACGGCATAGGCGCGAACTCCGGATGGAAATGACTTCCTGGAGCTGCACTATCACATTTCCAAAGGAAGATCACAAAACGAACGAGCCAAACTCAAGGATGGCCAAGAAACCTCTTCCCGGAGCCATATTGACCACTTTGTGAAGGATCTCTCAATCCACTCGTTCGAATGCTCTCAAACTTCACCAGAGGAAAACAAATATGAGGTTGGTCGATGAAATTTCAATATGGGTCGAGGAATTCATTATAGTTTGAGCTGTAGTCCATAGCACTACCCTCCGGTCGACCGAAATGTCCCATCTCGGCCAGAACGAAACCCAGAGTGAACCAAGCCCTGAAACTGGACAAAGGTAAACTACATACCACCACTAGGTTGTTTCTTCATGGACTTAATGTCTAATCAGGTTATATCTTTCTTCTCATTCATTCACACATTATTACCTCTTTCTTTTTCCTCCCTTAATGGATTTTCTTTCACCGGGACGGTGCAAGTTAAGTCTGGGGGGATTGTTGGTACTAATGTGTTTGTTCATGTTTCTTATCTTATATTTATTCTTTTCCCACTTTTTCAAAACTTCTGTTTTATTGAGTCAAAACCAGTCCGGAACTATGAACTTGCTTTGAGATTTGATAGTGTTATGCTAACAATCTATGACCCTAGAGCAGACATCAGCTGAAGGCACAAGCCTAACAGAAGCTCTACAGTGGATCGACATGCTAGCTCAGCGAAATTTCTAAGGTAACCAAGCAATCTAGAGTTAACCTCACCCTTAATCAATCTTAATAACTCTTGTCAAGGGGATTGGCATACATGTCGACAGTTCCTTGCTTGATTTTCAATGAGATTTGTCTAAAGAGTTCTCCTCTCTCTCCCATCCCAAATGGTAAGTAATGTTTATGAGAAAAGCTCAAAGAGCACAAGGAAAACAAGTAAGCATGAGGAATGCATATGTCTGTACCTTCATGTCTTATGGAATACCTTAGTCAAACAAGGAACAAGCTAAAGACTTATCCTGTGGTTGAAAGAAGGGTCAATAGAAAAAATAAAATGATACCCTAGAAAAGTAGGGAGAAATTGACCTTTCAAAGTTCTGATGTGAGAAAGAGAGAGGAAAAGAACTCATTGCACTTCAAAGACAATCTTGGAGAAGATCAAGTGGGTAAGAACAAGTTCAATTGATCGATGTTCCCTTGATAAAGAACTCACGCTTTAAATTTATGCAAGAGGTTAGCAATAGAGAGTTTGGATTGCTGGATGAGACTAGTTGGGTTGGTATTGTTCGCTAAACTTGCAGGGTGTATGTGAAGCTAACCTTATGTTGACTATGTTCTTAGTGGAATACAGGAAAGGAACCTTTCACAGGATTTTCAAAGAAGCAAGGGAGTTCCACGTTTTTCAAAACCTCTTCACGGATTTAGATTCTTTTTGCTTGGGGACAAGCAAAGATCTAAGTCTGGGGGAGTTGATATACCTCTATTTTACATGCTTTTTATATGTTTTACTATGTTTTCTAATGGTTTTTTGGTTTTCTATCTAAAAAGGTAGTTTTTATGATTTATAGTCTAGAGTCTAAACAGGTAAAAAGATGCATTTTGGAGCAAAACACAGGATTTGGACTGCATCAGTACATCAGACAGCAGCAGCGGCTTAGACCCTTACACTCAATGGATTTCAATGAAACTCAACACCAAGATAGCCAGATGAGTTATTGTTCTAATTCCGTTGGAAGTATGCAATTTGGATAAGCCGTTTAGGAGATATCACGTTTGTACTGAAGACTGGTCCACAGCCGGCCGAACGCACTCGGCCGGACAGGAAGGGTATTGGCTTCGCTCGGCCTTCTCCAGGACCGATCCGGCCGCACGACCGCACCGTCCGACCCGGGAGGCAATGGACCACGATCGACCGAGATCATCACATCACGGCCGACCAGACCGTGCGACCCGGGAAGCAAAGAACCGCGCTCGACCCGATCTCCGCGAACAAGAAGCCCACTTATGCAGTTTTGACTTTTCTCAGCCCAATTAACCTAAACCGACTTGTGAAGACCTAGGGCACTATAAATACACTTTTTTAGCCTCATTAGAAGATAGAGCCGCATAGAGAGTCACAAGAGAAGAGCTACAAGAGAGAGGCGCACTAGGGAGCTCCCCTTTCAGGGATCTTCCATTGTTTTACTTCTTTCTCATTGTTTTCCTTAGGGAGAAGATCCCTTCTTTGTATCTCGACATAGAGAAGCTTTCTGAACCCTTTTCTCTTTATATTAATATGATTTCTATCTCAGATCTATGCTTGTTTACTTGCACCATGTTTGAGTAGATTTCTAGTTAGGTTTTAGGGTTTCAAAGAGTTCATGTGTTGATTATGATTTGATGATTAACTAGGGATATCATTAGAGTCTTTGTCTCGTTTTGCACACTTAATTAATGCTAATCACTTTACCGTACATCTAGTGATTCGATCTTAGGTTGATTTGAGCCTCGAAAGTGTTGTATCATTCGCCGGACATATTCTTTGACAAGCTAGGTTTCTTAGACTGCGACAGTTGATTTACTTAACCTAGTGAACTGTATCCGAACTTGCTCGATCTAATGCTTGATTTAATCACCTAGGGACATACCAAAAGTTTAGCGACTAGGTAGATTAACAAAGGAACCGGAGCCTCGACAGTGGAATGGTTTTACAATCGTGTTTGGTGTTCTAGACGGATCTTACATCCCATATCCCGAAATAGATATAAATCAATCATCAATCTTATCATATATGAATCTCTGCGAATTACCTATTGCCTAGCGTCTTTCCCACATTGAACTTACACCGCTTTCATATTGCTTTCTTTTAGTTTAGTTCTTTTGCATACCAAAACCCCAATTCATCGTGTTGTTCTAGCTAAGTTAGACTTGCATAGCTTGTAGTGCACTTATCTGCTCCTTGTGTTCGATAACCCGTTACTACACCTGACCTGTGCACTTGCAGAATCAGGGATAGGAATAGGTAAAACCTGATCCCGCATCAAGGACAAACATGAGTGAAACGGTCTCAATCCAAGGGAGGAACATCAAATGGACCAAATTTGGGAACCGGAAGAGGTAAGGAGTCCGAAATGTACCTCTGTGCCTCCACATTGTGGAAACTCACTTGTAGTGTATAAATGAACTAGATGGACCCATACTTACCCAAACATGGATTATAGGTTCTCCACATTACTATGAGGACAAACATGAGTGAAACGGTCTCAATCCAAGGGAGAACATCAAATGGACAAATTTGGGAACCGGAAGAGGTAAGGAGTCCGAAATGTACCTTTGTGCCTCCACATTGTGGAAACTCACTTGTAGTGTATAAGATGAACTAGATGGACCCATACTTACCAAAACATGGATTAATAGCTTCTACACATGACTATGAGGACAAACATGAGTGAAACGGTCTCAATCCAAGGGAGGAACATCAAATGGACCAAATTTGGGAACCGGAAGAGGTAAGGAGTCCGAAATGTACCTCTGTGCCTCCACATTGTGGAAACTCACTTGTAGTGTATAAATGGAACTAGATGGACCCATACTTACCAAACATGGATTCATAGGTTCTCCACATTACTATGAGGACAAACATGAGTGAAACAGTCTCAATCCAAGGGAGGAACATCAAATGGACCAAATTTGGGAACCAGAAGAGGTAAGGAGTCCGAAATGTACCTCTGTGCCTCCACATTGTGGAAACTCACTTGTAGTGTATAAATGGAACTAGATGGACCCATACTTACCCAAACATGGATTCATAGGTTCTCCACATTACTATGAGGACAAACATGAGTGAAACGGTCTCAATCCAAGGAGGAACATCAAATGGACCAAATTTGGGAACCGGAAGAGGTAAGGAGTCCGAAATGTACCTCTGTGCCTCCACATTGTGGAAACTCACTTGTAGTGTATAAATGGAACTAGATGGACCCATACTTACCCAAACATGGATTCATAGGTTCTCCACATTACTATGAGGACAAACATGAGTGAAACGGTCTCAATCCAAGGGAGGAACATCAAATGGACCAAATTTGGGAACCGGAAGAGGTAAGGAGTCCGAAATGTACCTCTGTGCCTCCACATTGTGGAAACTCACTTGTAGTGTATAAGATGAACTAGATGGACCCATACTTACCAAACATGGATTAATAGCTTCTACACATGACTATGAGGACAAACATGAGTGAAACGGTCTCAATCCAAGGGAGGAACATCAAATGGACCAAATTTGGGAACCGGAAGAGGTAAGGAGTCCGAAATGTACCTCTGTGCCTCCACATTGTGGAAACTCACTTGTAGTGTATAAATGGAACTAGATGGACCCATACTTACCCAAACATGGATTCATAGGTTCTCCACATTACTATGAGGACAAACATGAGTGAAACGGTCTCAATCCAAGGGAGGAACATCAAATGGAACAAATTTGGGAACCGGAAGAGGTAAGGAGTCCGAAATGTACTCTGTGCCTCCACATTGTGGAAACTCACTTGTAGTGTATAAGATGAACTAGATGGACCAATACATACCAAAACATTGAATAATAGCTTCTACACATGACTATGAGGACAAACATGAGTGAAACGGTCTCAATCCAAGGGAGTAACATCAAATGGACCAAATTTGGGAACCGGAAGAGGTAAGGAGTCCGAAATGTACCTCTGTGCCTCCACATTGTGGAAACTCACTTGTAGTGTATAAATGGAACTAGATGGACCCATACTTACCAAACATGGATTCATAGGTTCTCCACATTACTATGAGGACAAACATGAGTGAAACGGTCTCAATCCAAGGGAGGAACATCAAATGGACCAAATTTGGGAACCGGAAGAGGTAAGGAGTCCGAAATGTACCTCTGTGCCTCCACATTGTGGAAACTCACTTGTAGTGTATAAATGGAACTAGATGGACCCATACTTACCCAAACTTGGACTCATAGGTCCTCCACATTACTATGAGGACAAACATGAGTGAAACGGTCTCAATCCATGGAAGGAACATCAAATGGACCAAATTTGGGAACCGAAGAGGTAAGGAGTCCGAAATGTACCTTTGTGCCTCCACATTGTAGAAACTCACTAGTAGTGTATAAGATGAACTAGATGGACCAATACTTACCAAAACATGGATTAATAACTTCTACACATGACTTAATAAATTTGAATAGAATTTGAAAAGTCATTTTGTATAAGAAAATAATTTATATAGTCATGTAAACATTTCTTATTTAATAATTTTAGTTTTTTTCAAATTGATTTTAATAGTTTAATAAATATAATAAATTAATTAGAAAATGAACGGGATGACACAAAACTGGATGTAATGAATTGACGAAGCGGAACGAGAGGAGAAGAAACACGACGAGACATAACAGAAAGGAAATGAATGAGAGAAGACAAAACGGGATGAGAATGAATAGGATGAGGCAGAACGAGACGGGAAAAACAGGACGAGTCAGAACTGAAAGAAAATGAATGGGACGAGGCAAAACGGGATGGGAAAGAATGGAACGATGCGGAACGAGACGGGAAGAAGCAGGATGAGGCAGAACAGAAAGAAAATGAACGGGACGAGGCAAAATGGTATGTGAGTGAATATGACGGAGAGGAACGAGACGCGAAGAAATAGGACAAAGCATAACGGAAAGAAAATGAACGGGATGAGGAAACATGGGATGAGAATGAATGGGACGGTGCAGAATGAGACAGGACGGAATGAGATGGAAAAAAACATGACGGGAAGGAACGTAAAGAAAATGAATGGGACGTGACAAACCGGGATGGGAAAGAATGGGACGAGGCGGAACGACACATGAAGGAATAGGACGAGGAACAGAAAGAAAATGAATGGGACATGGCAAAATGGTATGTGAATGAATAGAACAGGGAGCAACGAGAGAGGAAGAAATAGGACGAGGCATAATGGAAAGGAAATTAACGGAATAAGGAAAAATGGGATAATAATGAATGGAACGATGCGGAAGGGACAAGGCGTAACGAGATGGAAAGAAACAAGACGAGACGGAACAATACCAAAATTATGCCAAACCCTAATTTTTATCTAACGAAACGAGACAAGAATTATGCACAACTTAATTTTATTTAATTACTATTTTTATGTTTAAACACACGAAATTTAATATCTAAAGATATCAATAGTAACAATATAATATTCCGTGCGAAGCGCGGATAACCCTTAGTACATTATAATTTTTGAGTTTTTTTAAATACACATTATATTTTATAAACAAGGTGGTTGGCCCCGCACCCTGCGCGGAGGTAAACTGTTTAAAAAAAACATATTTGTATACTAAATTTTTTTCTAATATATTTTTATTCTATAATTTAATTTGATTTACTATGTTATTCGTAGATTTTTTTCTAAAGAAATAATATATTTCTCCAAAATCAATTGTGATCATGCAAATCCTACCTTTACAGCTTTAAAACCCGCAAATTCTTCATACCTATGATGAACATGATATTAATTTAAACAGCCGTAAAAAAACATTTGCAGCTTAGATGGATTGTAATGAAAAGAATCTGGATGCAAGAACGTTACTTTGCATGAGTTTCCATTTCGATGAGTTTGGTTTGAGAAAGAGAAAGAATGGCGTCATAGACAAAGACGTAGTAGGGCATTGGAGAATGTACATTTACTTAGTGTTTGTCAGGAATTTTGCGAATCCTATTATCTTAGAATTTTGCTTGAAGTTGTTAGAGGTCCAAGGAATTTCAAAGATTTGATGACAGTAGAAAGGTGTTGTTCATCCTACTTTCAGACATGCTTGACTCCATTAGCTATTTGTAATTTTAAACTGTTGTTGCCGACGAAGATGGTCCCCATTAGTTATTTTTAATTTTAATATTGTTGCGTTTTTGGGTTTTTTTTTTTATTATTCTAATATTATATTTTTCGTATTACTTATTTTAAAAATTTTATTATTGAATAAAATATATTTATTTAAAGAATCGCAATGCTAGTTTTATTTACATAATTTGAACAAATGATTAAAGAATTTAGTTTTTTTGCTAATTCCCTTTTCATTAATAATTTTCAAGAATTAAGGAATTTAAAAATGTACTAAAACTAAACCTTACACCCATGACCCACTAATATAAATCTGAACCCTACAATCAACACCCGCCCCCATCCATACTGTAACATCCGTAAACAAAAAAGGTGGAGTTTTGGTCGAGTTGTCGATCGACACAAGCGCTGGTTCGCGAATTCCGGTTCAATTTAAGTGAAATTGATTTTTGGTTTAGCCGGTTTAGGGTTGGGAACCCTATTTCACGAATAAAAGGAACAGCAGCCATCTCTTTTTGTCGTTTAGCGGCTGGTGTTTGTGAGAAGAAGAGAGGCTGAGTTCCTGATCGAATTTCGTGGTGAATCCAAGCTTCTAGAGGCAGATCGAGGTGCTGTTCGTTGTAGTTCATCGCCATCTCTCCTCCTTTCTCTTTCAATCCGTTTTTAAAATTGGTTAAGGCGAATTGTTTTGGTTAATTCTGGTATTTAATTAATTATTGGATATTTTAATTACTTAAATGGTTTAAAATAAATATATGAATTATTTTAATTATGGGAAAATATTATTTAATTATTAAGAATTATTTAATAATTGGTAAAAAGAATTTAATAATTATTAGAGTTATAATAATTATTTACATGTCTAGTAATTTGCGTAATTGACCCGTAGGCAAGGTGATTCTCTCACTAAATATTTATTAAATAATTACGCAACTCCATTCCAATGTGTTGCAGGTAAAACTTTTTCAGTTCGAAATAAATATTTTTCTTTAATAATATCAGTTTTATTTTTTTTTGTAATTGTTGTTGTTGTACAAAATTTCATATGATATTTTAAGAATACTCAATATTATTATTTAATCGATATGATTTTAACAAAAGATTAAACAATATATTTATTTTGCTATTTCCTTGTTCATTAGAAATTTCAAAAACTAAGAATATCTTTTATGGTTAATTTTTTTCAAAAACTAAGGAATATAAAAACGAACTAAAAACTAAACTCTACACCTACCAATTTAAACCCTAACCCTACAATAAATGTAACATCCCGGTTTGTGATAAATGAGGAGAAGCTTAAGAAAATTGATTTGGCTATCTATGTCAACAAAGTGCACTTACCTTTTCGGTCAAAGGTCTATAAGTAACTCCAGAGTTAAGTGTGACCTTCCGGGAAGTGGTTTCTGAAACCGTGTGAGTGAGACCAAAACACGGGGAAATGTCATGTGTTGATTGCAGAGATAGTAAACAAGTCATTAGAGTCTCTAAAAAATAACGGACCGACCGTCGGACAGGGGTGAGGCCCACGGGCCGAGATGGGTCTGCGGGTAGAGAGAGAGAGTGGGTGAGTAGGGGCGGTCGAAGCGTTAAAATAAACAAGAACCCCCCCCCCCACAATAAATGTAACATCCCGGTTTGTGATAAATGAGGAGAAGCTTAAGAAAATTGATTTGGCTATCTATGTCAACAAAGTGCACTTACCTTTTCGGTCAAAGGTCTATAAGTAACTCCAGAGTTAAGTGTGACCTTCCGGGAAGTGGTTTCTGAAACCGTGTGAGTGAGACCAAAACACGGGGAAATGTCATGTGTTGATTGCAGAGATAGTAAACAAGTCATTAGAGTCTCTAAAAAATAACGGACCGACCGTCGGACAGGGGTGAGGCCCACGGGCCGAGATGGGTCTGCGGGTAGAGAGAGAGAGTGTGGGTGAGTAGGGGCGGTCGAAGCGTTAAAATAAACAAGAACCCCCCCCCCCACAATAAATGTAACATCCCGGTTTGTGATAAATGAGGAGAAGCTTAAGAAAATTGATTTGGCTATCTATGTCAACAAAGTGCACTTACCTTTTCGGTCAAAGGTCTATAAGTAACTCCAGAGTTAAGTGTGACCTTCCGGGAAGTGGTTTCTGAAACCGTGTGAGTGAGACCAAAACACGGGGAAATGTCATGTGTTGATTGCAGAGATAGTAAACAAGTCATTAGAGTCTCTAAAAAATAACGGACCGACCGTCGGACAGGGGTGAGGCCCACGGGCCGAGATGGGTCTGCGGGTAGAGAGAGAGAGTGTGGGTGAGTAGGGGCGGTCGAAGCGTTAAAATAAACAAGAACCCCCCCCCCCCCACCCCACCCCAAATCCATACAATACACAACTACATCATATTAAACTCTTTTTAGTTTGAGATAAATATTTTTCATTAATAATATCAATTTTAAATTTGTGTAGTTGTCGTTTGTTGTTGTACAAAATTTGATATTTTAAGAATATGCAATGTTATTATAAGGGTTTTGTGCAAAATAACCATTGAACTAAATTAAATTTGCAAAATAAACCTTCATCTTTTTTTCTGTGCAAGTCAATCCCCTAAACTTAAAAGTCACCCGCTAAACAACCCTCGTGTGTATAGTCGACGTGTCTTTTTCTTGGCCGCTTAAAAATCTCAAAACACTGCGTTTTGGTCATAAAAACGGGACACAATTTTGTTCCTCTATGCCGTTTTCGTACAAACACCAAAACACATGTAATCAAAAATTGTCTGGATTTCTTTCTCTCTCGCCTCCAGTCTTTCTCTCTCGCCTACAATTCCATTCCATCGTCTGTTTTTGATGAAGTAATAAAATTCCCAGAAAAAGTAAGATTTTTTTTGCAGAAAGCTCGAAAGATTCTCATATGGTGAGAAAACTTTAAAATTTGCATACTGAGAGAGAGTCTGAAGGATTTTAAATCATGTCGAGATTTCTGAAAGATTGTTTATGAATATGGTCCTGCTGGTGTTTGCTCTAATCGAACGAGTTTTAACGAATTTCTACGCTTAAAAGAAGAATGTAATGTAACATCAAAATCTTTTAAATTTGACAATTTCTTCCTAATTACATTGGCTATGTTGGATGTGCGACATTGATTATGTGGAGGAACTAATCCGTTCTGCTTTCGTGGTAATGTCCTCTTTTCCATATTCACAGACTTGTAATCTCGTTAGTTACCATTTTTCTTCACTTCACTGCTAATTAGTCAATGGAAGCATTCTTGTAATAGACATGCTCTGATACCATGTTAAATTGATGAGAGTAAAGAACACAAAAGTGTTTAGGAAGAATTATAATAGACTCTCATGAAAATAATGTTACAAGATGTATAAACTTATATGGGGAAGAAAGCAAACTAATTTCCTAAACTAATATAGAATAAGATATATTTAAGATAAAAGCTAAGTTTCCTAATCTTAGATATTGCCAAATATCAATCTTCTAGATCCTTCTTGATTTTCTTATCTCCGACATGGTCGATCTCGTCAATCTCCCAATAAGTTTTGCCTGAGCTGTTTGGAGTTTACAAGCCTAAGATTCTTAATTACCATTTGTAACATGTCTTCCTTGTGTCCTCTGTCTTTGAAATGGTGACAAGATAAATCTTTAAAACAGCATGTTTGTCTATTTCCAGGTAGCTGAAAACCCGGCGGCTGTGGGTGGGTGCACTTGTAAAAGCTCCTTCATGGTGAAATAGGGAATCGTTGAATCATTCTTCTTTATAAATGAGTAGAAACCCCATTTGATCATTTGTTATTACATGTATAATATCAGAAGTTTTGATACGTATCAAAAGGCAAACTAGGGAAAGATACAAACTTCTATAGCTTAACAAATGATTTGTTTTATCCTATTTTTAAACAATAATCATAATTGACTGAGTTTACACAAAGAGCAATGTTGCGTCTTCTCTTTATCTACAAAACAGTTGATCATATACTACATACATAGATCTCAAATCACAAGTCCAGCTGATGAAAGTGAGTCCTTGTGAGTACTTAACAGAGAAGAGCGACTTAACTCCTTCAGCTTTCCCTTGTCCATCAAGAACACTCTTTGCGCCATCATCACTGTCTCCAGTCTATGTGCAATCAAAATTACCTGAAAATGCAAATATCCGCGAGTCATGTATAAACAGAATAGCTGGGATGCTGTTGTTACCATATGGTCTTCCATTCTATTGCCCAACAAGAGCCATAGTCTCTCCTGCTTTAATATGATGATTCAACCCATCCAAAATGGGAAGCATCTCTTCCTCATATTTAAATGAAATATTACATAATTCAACCTCGCCTGCAACTTTTTCCAATTGAATGACGTCAAGCTCTCTCGACCACCTAGTTATCAAGACATGGCCTAAAGCACTTTGCATTCAGATTTTGAGAAAGACAAAGAAAACAAACCTCTTATTGGGAGTATAAACTGAAGAGACGATTAGACGATACTTAGATGTTAAATCAAACAAATGCTCTACCGCTGGCTCTCCTTGTTTCAGTTCATTATAAGCTTTTCCCAGATCCTGCATCATTCTTTAGATTCAAAATCCCAATAAGATAGCTCTTCAAGGTAAATAAGCTTAATCGATTTCGCTAAATTACGGTTTTTGGCGTTTTTCTTTATCCAGGGTTAAGAAAATCGTCAAGAACCCTAATTTAGGATTTCCCCCAAATCGATTTTAGCTCTCCCCAAATGAAATCCAGACAATTTTTGATTACATGGTGTTTGTACGAAAACGGCATAGAGGAACAAAACTGTGTCCCGTTTTTATGACCAAAACGCAGTGTTTTGAGATTTTTAAGCGGCCCAGAAAAAGACACGTCGACTATACACACGAGGATTGTTTAGCGGGTGACTTTTGAGTTTAGGGGATTGACTTGCACAGAAAAAAGATAAGGGTTTATTTTGCAAATTTAATTTAGTTCAATGGTTTTTTTTGCACAAACCCTTATTATAATCAATATGATTTTAACAACAGAAAAGAAAATTTATGAGATTTAAAAGGGATTTATAATAATTTATATGAAATTTATGAGATTTGGATTTTAGTTTAGGTATTCTAAACCCTAATTAAGGGGGGTGTATTGGAAAAGGGATTTAAAAGATTTTAGGTGATTTTCAGTGATTTTGTATATTAGGTGGTTTTAAGAGATTTTAGAAGATTTTATGAGATTTTAAAAGATTTTGGTGGGATTTAAGTGATTTAAGAAAATGACTTATGAAATTTTGGGTGATTCTTATGGGATTTCATAGTGAGTTTTGAGTGATTTATCATTAAATTAAAAAGCCACATTGTGGGATTTGTAACTTGAACTTCTTCTCAACGATTGAGAAATCCATGTTCCCTCCTCTATTAAGCGAAGAACATTTCACCGCAAGTACACCAAACTCCTTAGCTAACTCTAACGGCCACTGAGGATACTCGTCTGGTTCATCGATATTGCCTTCAGCAAACCGGGCCAGTTCCTCCCGGTTAGAAGATGCAGAAGCAAAACACCAAAGGCCATCACGTCAGGTTTCGTATCAGACTGATGATCACTATGCATGATCAGTCCAAACCCGGTTATCTTCGGCACAAGGTTACGGTCCAAGAGGATCTTCGATGGCGTGAGGCGACCATGGACAGTGGGTTTAGGCTTAACCGAGTGGGGAAGAGGCTGCAAAGTTTCTCTGTATTAAGATGCTCATATCCCTGAGAACGTTGTCCCCAAGATCCCTCTTGCCGGAGGGAACAACTACGAACACATAATTTACATTACTGGTTGGTCTGTTTACACTGAAATCTCTTTACTAAGAGACTCAAGGAGGCCTAAAACAGGAGGAGATGTGACAGTCGGTGAGCATTGTACCTGAAATTCTGAACGATAGGCATCAGTTTCCCTGTGTATTCCATCTCTTTTATGTTCAGCAGCCTTAATGCTGCCTGCAATATATTTATATTCTACTTCAGTAAATTAACTGTCTAAGCAAATGCTAACAAGAGCTAGCAGAAGAAATAAAGGGCAGACATAAGACCTCTCTTTGACGCAATTTCCTAACCATATCAACGCCAGCTTAGTGAAAAACAAAATTTTGTGAATGAAAGCTATAATAAAGATAGGAAAACCAAACCTCTTCAAGAGCTTGACGTCAAAATTAATGAGTTTGGTTTCCTACAAAGACCAATATTTTAACCAAACCTCTTCTCAATCATCTTCCTCCTGAAAAGAGTTATAGGATAAATCAAAAGTTTTGCAGGTCTAAACCTGTAACTAATCATTCTTTCCCAGCAATTTCATCAAATACAACACCAACAGAAGAAGTTGAGGTTTTGAGCAAAATTTGTTTAAACTCCAGATTTACCTTTTCTTATACTTTAATTGAGCCTCGATTGTTTAGCAGGTACATCAAACTGAACATTGTTTTCGTTAAGCTTTGCGTCATAAATCTGCTCAAAATCCTCGATCAGATTCCGAATCTGCCTGAAGAATCTCCACTGATTTTTGGGGCACAACGGCTTGAAGTTTGTCATTGTCAAGTTCATCGTCAATCTTAGACGACGGGTTCTACCTGCCGGAGCTTCTTTCTGCCAGGAACATTCACTGGATTCCGAGGAAAATGAGCAGTAGTTTCTTCGAAACATCCGATGTTCGATGTCTGTGAAGAAATATATCGTGCTTCATGTCTATTTCTCCTTTGATTTTATTTTTTATTTTTTATTTATTTTTGTAAAAAGCTTTTCCAAATTACACCTATGAAGGTGTTATTTTGGTTAGCCATATTCTTAACCCAAAATGGGTGTTAAATCTCCTAAAAATCTTGTCACAAGTTTTTCTCCAAATAGTTGTTCACTTTTGAATAACAGTGGATTTGATTTAAGATTTACAAATGACTAATTGAATAACATGGCTTTTTTTTGTTCAAATCATACTTCCATTAGAATAAACTTCAAGTCACAAAAGGAGGGAATGTTACATCCTCATTAACTAAAACAAACAACAATAAGAAGATAGAGCTTGAAGCATATGAATCCTCAAGATAGGATGACAGCGGATCCGGAACAAAGTTTGGATGCGTCAAGATAACTTTCATGGCAGAGCCGGAATGTCGAAACTTAGTCACTTTACATTGTGACGTTGATACACAATCCTCACCTCCGGGATTCGTCGAGATGAACCTGGCTGCCTCTTCTGGTTCCGTGCAAGAAGATACACAAGGAGACAAGACAGTGGAGAGATTGGTAAGATTTCCGGGGAATGAACCCGAAGATATAACCCCTATACAAAATAGCGGGTATGGTGGAGAAATTCTCTTCCGGTGAAAGAAGGACGATGGAAACGATCTCTCCTTGCCAAGGGAGGAGGGTGGAATATTAAACATCTCACATACAAAGAAAGCTGAAAATATCCCGGCGAAGGTGCCTCGGATACAACCAAGAGGCGGTGATGCAACAGATGCACAAGAAACCACAACAAAACTTGGGTAAGGCCCAATGAGTGTGGAGAAGCGACAACCCAAATGGGGCTTGGTGGGCCAGGCCCAAATCAATTTAGCGCTGAGGAACGAGACTACGGCGGCGTGGGGAGACGGAGAGATGAGGGAGCATTTGCCGGATCTACTCTTTCCGGCCATCGCAGAGGTAGCAGAGTGTCGTGAGAGCACAAAGATAACACCATTAAGTGAAACTTCTCCGACGTAGAAGGGATCAAAAGTTACCAGCAAACAGAGGGTTTGAGAGGTTATGAAGAACAGTCGGATCTCATCGAGACCGGTTAGAGAGATACACCTCTGTTGGATGGAGACTAGAGGAATGAGGGGAGGAGAGCATAAAGGCTGCCTGGACGATGGTAAGAAAGGTCTTCGGGGAGTACCCGAGAAGTTGCCTGATTTAGCGATCCTTGCGCACAGATCCAGGAAGGTGTACTGATCGCGGCATCTATGGGATGAGTACAAGTAATAATTCCCTAAGACAACTAGTGTTGCAAGTGCACAACATATAATTGTAGTATTTAGGGGTCGAACCACAAGGGATTGGATTTCACACATTACATAATCATAGAGTTTAATTGACTAAGCTAAATCAAAAGATGCAAGGGTTTGTGTTTGTTTAGAACACGCAAAGAAATAACAATGCAAATCTATACAAGCAACATTATTGAACTATTGAAAACTCTTTTGAAAACATGAGCCAAGTCGATTGAAAAGTTTGTTAAAATCCGATTCTTTTGAACTCAAAACACTAAGGAAGGATTATTCCACTTTCGTGGTTCCAATCCCCTATGTCTCTTAAACCAATGGGCTCAGCTTTCGTTGGTCATTGTAGAGTGAGACATGCATTACATCCAAGTAATGATTGTTCACAAAACTCTTTAGGTCTACTTTCGTAGCCTAAAACGATTTGCCCATCAAATATATGTCCGGAGATATAACAAGCTTTTGGAGAGTATATCAACCTAAAATCAAGTCACTAGTTAGCTACTCTAGCAACAGCATTAAGCATAAATAAAGATGGAGAACCATAGGGTTTCCCCTTTTAACAATCGATTTCGATGGCCATTATATCACGTCCTCATTGGAAGGATCCATAATTCAACAATGAGTCTTAGATAGTAGATGAAGTCTCATGAATCCTTAGAGAGAGAGGCGGCGGAATATAGACTAAACCGCCTCACCCTTAGGGAGAAATCTCTACTTCTAGACTATGAATCAAAACATGCAAGCTATATACAAATGCAAAAGAAGAAAAGAAAGAAGAAGGAGACCACCTAAGTGGCTCCGAACTTTATTGAATAAGTGTTTCTTGTTATGCGGCTGGTTCTTTTTATTACAAGAGGCTAAAAGCAAGTACAGTAGAAACTCTATAAATTAATACTCGATAAATTAATAAACACGATAAATTAATAAAATTTGCTGGTCCCAACTCGGGCCAGTGTAAAATATAACACAATTCGATAAGATAATAAGATAATAACTTTTTTGATACTCCTATGTAAAATATGGTCCCATTAATATCATAAATTAATAAGTATCATATAAAAATTTATAAATAAATATATATATATATATAATTAAGTTAACTTAATAATATATGAATTTCTTGTTTGCTTTTTTTTTTAAGTTGTATTCTTCATGAAGTTTGTCTCTAATTTTTCTTATTACATCCACAAATTATGAAGAGTTCTAGACGTGATAATTGTCTTTTTATGTGTATTTGTATCTAAAGAAATTATAACGGTATGAAAAAAATGAAAATAAAATAAAATTCAAATATAGAAATAGAAAAATATGCTTTTAAATGGAAATTTCTTATATAATATAATTAAAAATTGAGAATATTATTATCATTTAATTTATTTATTTTTGATATTATTTAGTCAAAATCGTTAAATTAATAACTCTATAAATTAATAAAATATCAAAGTCCCGACATTATTAATTTATAGAGTTTATACTGTATATATAGGTAGAGAGCGGGTCTAGGTCGGCAAAGTTGAGCGCGCGCAGAAGAGGAAAGTTTCCATTTCTCTTTAGCCGCTTGAGCTTGCTCTCCAAGTTCTTGAATGGGCCGTGTTCAGGCCAATGGAAGCTTCTGGATTGAGTTATGCTAGTGTCAAGATGAGCCAAGGCCTTGGGCGCGGTATCGCGGGCCTCTTGATCCATCAAAGTCTCCATGGGCTCTACTTAGGCGCTCGTCGGACATGTCTTGGTAGAAAATAAGTTCCGGTCCAACGAGTGATCCAAATGACCTCTTTCCACTTCGCCGCGGGTCATGACTCAAATATCTATCTTTCCATATAAGAATCATGACTTTTGGACGTCGGGAAGGCATGAACATGCGGTCGTACTTCGGATGCTCCGGTTTGGTCTTTAGCGAGAAATGTATTTTGGTGCTCTAGACTTGGGAACTTGGTGATTTGACTCTTTTGCTCCATTTTGGACTCTTCTTTGCTATTTTGACCTGAATGATGCTCAAAACCAGAATATACAAGAAAACTACCTCTTGGGCTTAAAAACCACATTATTTGTATTAAAAACATAGTGAAAACCTTGATAAAAACATGAAAGATATGGGTATATCAACTCCCCCAGACTTAGCCTTTTGCTTGTCCCCAAGCAAACTAAGAGAGGAAGAGAGGTTTGAAAACGCAAGAACTCTCAAATCATTAGGAAATCCGGGTTGGCTTGGTTTTAGTAATCCACATGAAAGTAGTAAAGGCAAATATTTGAATTAAGAACAAGAGTACATACCATGAGTTTTGCGATTTTTCCAAGGCGGCCCACCTCTCTTTGGACAATCCAATTCACCCTCCTTGACTCCTTTCATTTCTAAAGGTGTGGTCTCAACTAGGGAGTATCGATCAGCCGGCTTTAGACTCTTACTCATCCCCTTGTTTTGGCACTTGTCTTTTTACTCCATGTTTCTCCTCTCTCTCTTCTCACTTCTTTGAGTTGATTCATCCCTTTTTTAGGGTAGCGAAGTATTTTTTTATTCAACTCCTTCTCTTTATTATAGAGGTTTTGCTTGGATCTTCCACAGACGCGAGTATTGATGGTGTTTGCCACCGAATCCCCGGTTGCTTGGATTCATAGGCCTTCCATAGACGCGAGTATTGATGGTGTTTGCCACCGAATCCCCGGTTACTTGGACCTTACGCTTTTTCTTTAAATTTGAAGGGGAGAGAGAGGGAAGCACGAACTCACTAAGACTTTTTCATTTGATGGAGAGGATGAGGAATCATGCCATTTGTATGCCAAGCCCCTAGCTGAGAAGATTAAGTTCATTAAGGGCGGAGTCAAGAGTGGATCCTTCTCAAGTCCTTGGAGGTGTGGGCGTTTTTGGTAGATCGATCAACTCATAGTGTCCCTGTGGTAAGATGTATTGCCAAGACTGCTTCAATGGTCACTTAAACGTTAGCACAACAATGGTTAGATCCAAGATAAGGTCATAATCCTTTGACAAAATTTTGACTCAATAAAACGACTCAATGAAAAGCCAAAAAGAACAAACTTGTTAGTAATCCCCCCAGACTTAACTTGCACCGTCTCGGTGTAAGAAAAATCCAATTAAGAGAGGTAATGATAAATAGAATGGAAAAGTTAGAGTTTGTAGAAAATTGTACCCAAATTTTTGGCCTTTGATGTGAAGATCGGTTGTGCGCTTGTAGTTGCTTCCAGGAATGACTGACTGGTGCAAACATCATAGCTGTTGGATTTGGTTGGATGAATGTGACAATTCTCCCTTGGTTTTCTGTTTTTCGCCTTTTTGGCCGAGACTGGTCCGTTTTGGTCGACCGGATGGTGATGGTATGGACTACAGCTCGAACCGTGAAGATTTCCTCGACCTATCTTGAAATTTCGTCGACCAATATTGTATAATATGGCGACTGGTGAAGTTTGGGGTCGTTTGAACGAGTGGTTTGAGATCTCCTTTGAAAAATTTTCAAATTGGCTCCGGGAACGTCTTCCTTCGGTCTTCTCCAATTCTGCTCGTTCCAATCGGATTTTCTTCTTTAGATGCGATGTGGATGCTTGATTGAGGTGATTTGAGCCGGTGGCCGCGGTAAATGCCGTGATTTGGATTGTCGGCCATTTTACTTGCTCGCGATCGGCCAAATTTCACTCCATCGGCCATCTCTTGAATTGTAAGGAATTCATTGTACTGAAATGAAATTTCATCGACCAACCTTATGTTTTGTGGCTCCTTGTGAAGTTTGAGGCGATTTGAACGTGTGGATTCGGAGATCTTTCGTGTGCGCGCCAATGGCGTCGGGATGTGATTCCTTTGGCCATCTTGTATTCTGTTCGATCGTCTCCTTCCTTTCTTCTTCCTTGGTGTTTTTTGGACTCCAGAGGATCAGTTTCCACCGGTGTTCGCGCCTTCTTGAGGTTTTGAGTTCGTCGGCCATTCTATGCATCGCCGTCGGCCGTATTGAGCTTCCTCGTCTATCTCACGTAGCAGGCACTTTTTCTCGTCCTATCTTTTGGATTTGCCGACCAAAATGATGTTTTGAGGTCGCCTGTGAAGTTTGGTGGACTTCGGTCGTGCCGTTTGGGAGATGGTCGAGCATTGTCGCTTGGTTCGTCGATTCTGGCCGAGAGAGTGATTGTGAATGTGATATCTCCTTTTTTACTCGGGCCAATTGAGTTCTGCTTCGACCGAACTGTTTTTCTATCCCTCCTGGATTGAATTGTGGTTGGATTTCCCTCATCTCTCATGTTTGGCATGTAAATCCTCCTTTGGCCGGTTGTGGCTCCTTGCGCGCCATGTTTGTTGATATTTTGAACCGGTTTTCCTGTCATGTTTATATCTGAAAAACACTAGTAACTCTTTGTTAAACTCTGTCAATGATTGAGATGTTCAAGTTATTTGAACTTCCCAATCAAAGACTTGATCGTGACACTACATGTACTTGGATCTTGATCAGAGATCCAAGTAGTGTTCATGTGTGAAATAATAGAGATAATGTGTTTAGAAATGACATTTGAATGGAGAGATACTTACCTTTGCCTTGTGCAATAGTGTTCCAATGGCCGGATTTTGTGCCCGGCCCTTCTTGGATTCTTTGCTTCTTGAAACATGGGTGGGACTTGGGTGGGACTCAAACTAGACTCAATGCTTGACACTTAGACCAAAGATGGTTGATCCTTGGGCCGATTGGTGGCGATGTAGCTTTTCCAATGCATTTTTCATGTAAGCCTCCTTTTTGGTACTTTTTCCTAAAACACTTTTTATTTTATTTTTGTAAAATTTATTAAACTCTCAAAAATTTAAGAGTTATAAATAGAACAAATAAGTAGTTATAAAAATAAAAACAAAAATAAAAAGAGGAAGGGATAAGAAAATGTGGGTTGCCTCCCACAAGCGCTTGTTTTAAGTCTTTGTAGCTCGACTCCTTTGTGTTCTTAGTTAGGTAGGATTGGTGGCTCCAAGAACTTCCTGTTGCCTGATGATTCCAAGTGCATCTTGTCCTGTAGAACTTCCTTGATCAAGTAGCCATGCGACTCTCCTCTTACTTGTGAGCACTCTCCTCCACTTGTGTAGCGAAATCGCTTGGATGAGAAACCGGGAGGTGCAGCATCGTAGAAGGTGTCCTTGTCAACATTGGCTAGAGAGATTCTTCTATTAGGCCAATCCATGATCGCTCCAGCTGTGGCTAGGAATGATCTTCCAAGCAAAAGCTTTAAGTCCTCCGGATCCTTCATGGTTACTACATAGAAGTTGGCTGGAACTATGCAGCCTCCAAAATCAAGCTGAATGTCTTTAACCTCTCCAAGTGGTTCGGTCAATGATGAATCAGCTAGCTTTAAATCCATTCGAGATTTCACAATTGAATTGATCAATCCCAACTTCTTGGCTATCTCGGCCGGCATAAGGTTCACACTAGAACCGGAATCGCAAAGAGCATCATCAAAGTAGCTTCCATTGATAGAGAAATGTATAAGGAAGTAACCTGGGTCATGAAGCTTGTGTAGAAACCTAGGTTTAGGCATCCCCTTTCTTGCTTCCTCGTACATCTTTTCCAATTCAGCTAGACTCCAATCTTGTGTCCAAGCTAGGTCTTGCATGAATGGACTCTTGTTGCAAGCATTATCAAACGGCACACCATAAGGGAATCTCCTCGCCATAAAGTTGAAATCATCTATGATCTCTTCAAGTGATGATCTTGTCTTCCTCTTCTCCTTGGTGGGAGGCGGTTGTGAAGACCTTTGAGTAAGGGTTCTTCCTTTTGGTGCTATCTTCTCTCTTGTTCCAGTGGTTAGCCTTGTGGCTCTTTCTTGATCAGCTCTACTTTCTTCTTCATCCCAAATCACTCTTGGGTCGGTCTCTCTTATAGTAAAGACGGGCGCGGCATGGTTGTGCTTAGGAACGGTCGTCTTTGCCTCGGTCAAGACCTTCTCTTCCAAGTTGGCTAAGCGAGTGGTTAAATCCTTGACTTCCTTGGAGACTCCATCTACTTTGTCTTCAAGCCCTCTAGCTCTTCTTTGAATATCTTGGCTCCTCTTGTCTAGAGAGATGTGTAAATCTCGGATTTGTGCCTTCACTTGTTTTTGCCCTTCCACCAATGTAAGCATCGTCGAGTAACATTGCCTCTCCTTTAGGGTTACTTCGGCTACCTCCCTCTTAGCTTGATGAGCTACTGCTGTTATTGAATTGAGACTCTTGGTGGTGCCATCGAGGTTGTTATCAAGACTTGAGATCTTCTCATCTAAGTGATTGTCCATCTCCTTGGTAGAAACTTTGGTAAAGTGTATCGCTCTCCTATTGTCTTCAATGGCCTCGCCTTGCTTCTTCAAATCTTCCTCCATGTCCAAGCATCTTGACTCTACTCTCTCTATTTGGGTAGAGAGTTCTCCAAGTCTTCCATCTAGTTCGTATCGCGTGAACTCTAGCTTTGTCTCAATGTCGCGGCTAGTTTTCTTTGGCTCTCCATGAAACCCTCAAGCACGGCATCGAAATGGCTATCTCTCCGCCTATTGAGAACATGGTCGTGGTGTGAATGCAACACTGGTCTAGGTGGTTGATGATAAACCGGAGGTCGGTTTTGATGATGATGGTAATGATGCTCGTCTCGGCTAGGTCCTTCAAACGTCGGATGAGCGCGGTTGGGAGGGAACGGATGTGGCACGATGCTTACGGCTGGGTCTTGGTAACTCCGGCCGTGGAGATCGTGTGGGATCAGTGTCCGGTTCCCAAAGTGGATGTTGGTGTTGTGATTCATCTCCAAGTACCTATAAACACAAGATTTAAAAGAAAAAGTTAGTATTCGAAAATACCAAGATCTAGACTTAGTTTTAAACAAGACTATGCAAGTGTTTATGATGCAATCCCCGGCAACGGCGCCAAAAACTTGATGCGGCATCTATGGGATGAGTACAAGTAATAATTCCCTAAGACAACTAGTGTTGCAAGTGCACAACATATAATTGTAGTATTTAGGGGTCGAACCACAAGGGATTGGATTTCACACATTACATAATCATAGAGTTTAAATGACTAAGCTAAATCAAAAGATGCAAGGGTTTGTGTTTGTTTAGAACACGCAAAAGAAATAACAATGCAATTCTATACAAGCAACATTATTGAACTATTGAAAACTCTTTTGAAAACATGAGCCAAGTCGATTGAAAAGTTTGTTAAAATCCGATTCTTTTGAACTCAAAACACTAAGGAAGGATTATTCCACTTTCGTGGTTCCAATCCCCTATGTCTCTTAAACCAATGGGCTCAGCTTTCGTTGGTCATTGTAGAGTGAGACATGCATTACATCCAAGTAATGATTGTTCACAAAACTCTTTAGGTCTACTTTCGTAGCCTAAAACGATTTGCCCATCAAATATTGTGTCCGGAGATATAACAAGCTTTTGGAGAGTATATCAACCTAAAATCAAGTCACTAGTTAGCTACTCTAGCAACAAGCATTAAGCATAAATAAAGATGGAGAACCATAGGGTTTCCCCTTTTAACAATCGATTTTCGATGGCCATTATATCACGTCCTCATTGGAAGGATCCATAATTCAACAATGAGTCTTAGATAGTAGATGAAGTCTCATGAATCCTTAGAGAGAGAGGCGGCGGAATATAGACTAAACCACGCCTCACCCTTAGGGAGAAATCTCTACTTCTAGACTATATAAATTGAAACATGCAAGCTATATACAAATGCAAAAGAAGAAAAGAAAGAAGAAGGAGACCACCTAAGTGGCTCCGAACTTTATTGAATAAGTGTTTCTTGTTATGCGGCTGGTGATTCTTATTACAAGAGGCTAAAAGCAAGTATATATAGGTAGAGAGCGGGTCTAGGTCGGCAAAGTTGAGCGCGCGCAGAAGAGGAAAGTTTCCATTTCTCTTTAGCCGCTTGAGCTTGCTCTCCAAGTTCTTGAATGGGCCGCGTTCAGGCCAATGGAAGCTTCTGGATTGAGTTATGCTAGTGTCAAGATGAGCCAAGGCCTTGGGCGCGGTATCTCGGGCCTCTTGATCCATCAAAGTCTCCATGGGCTCTACTTAGGCGCTCGTCGGACATGTCTTGGTAGAAAATAAGTTCCGGTCCAACGAGTGATCCAAATGACCTCTTTCCACTTCGCCGCGGGTCATGACTCAAATATCTATCTTTCCATATAAGAATCATGACTTTTGGACGTCGGGAAGGCATGAATATGCGGTCGTACTTCGGATGCTCCGGTTTGGTCTTTAGCGAGAAATGTAGATTTGGTGCTCTAGACTTGGGAACTTGGTGATTTGACTCTTTTTGCTCCATTTTGGACTCTTCTTTGCTATTTTGACCTGAATGATGCTCAAAACCAGAATATACAAGAAAACTACCTCTTGGGCTTAAAAACCACATTATTTGTATTAAAAACATAGTGAAAACCTTGATAAAAACATGAAAGATATGGGTATATCATGTACAAACTTTTAAGGCACAGATACGCCGGATCCGAAGAGAGCGATTGATGGTCGAGCGGCGGTAGGTGAAGAATGATTTTAGAGCGCAGCCGTCGTTCTGACAGATCCGGTGGTTTCGGCGGAGGTTGCGGCAGCGCCAGGGTGGCTCACTCCGAAGTGAGAGAGGCTCGACGCACATCTTGGTTGCTCCGGTGAGTTGAACGGTAGAGACGAGAGCTCCGTCCTCAAGAGCTCTGCAGGTCGCTCCGATACCATCAGCGAAGAGGAAGAGCGGTCGAAAACAGAGAGAGAGCTAAGAGATCTCGCCGGCAATGGAAGAACCGGCGGAAGGTGAAGCAAAGTCATCGGGAAACCAAATGGGATCCCGGGAAAGAGAGAGCCACGCTCCAGTTCAGGAGGAGAAGAGACGCCGAGGAGGCCAGTTCATTCCGAAACCGGAGCACGGCGACGGCGGAGAAAGATTGACGGCGCCTTGATAAGCGTGCCTGGGAGAAACCTAAAACTAGGGCGACCTCTGATTTTTTAAATTTTTTTTTGAAGAAGAATAATATAGGATTTTGAATAAGAAGAAGAATAATAACAGGGCTTTGTAAGTGATTTTGAATGATCTTTCTAAAACTCCATATTCAATAACACTGAATTTGAAAAGACATTTAAAAATCCTCATTTGAATAATATGAATTTTTAAAAAGACCTCAAAATCACCTAAAATATCTTTTCCAATACACCCACCTTAGATACACTTATTAGAATTAGGGTTTCATGAACTTTAAGTTGCAATTAAAAGGGAAAGATGCACATACTCTAACCCTACAATTAATATTATTAGATTATCTAAGTATGAGATTGAATAAATATGTGATAATTAATTTTGGACTATGTATAATATTTGGACTAATTGGGCCCGAGCGGTAAACATGATGGACTTTTGCTGATAAGAGAATACTGTTTGTATGAGACAAGTTTTGTCCCAACAAGTGTGATTTTTCGTTAATTATTATTGATTTTGTCGATATTGATAATTTTAAGAGAATCAAATTTTCTCGATCACTTCATTAGATTTTGAATCATGCTGCCGACAACACGAGTTGTTGTTTTTCTTTAAAGAACAATATGTATGTTATTTTTACGTTAATGAAATTGATAATTATTGATTTTATCAGTATTGTTAACTTAATTTTCACGATCACTGCATTAAATTTTTAAGTGTTGTCGACAAAACAACATGAGCAAGTCAAATTCCTAAGACAGACAGAGGCAGTAAGCCCAATAAGAAGTCCTAGTTGCTAACGTCTTTTAATCGTGACAGTAAACCTAAAGTAATATGTTCTCAATTTGATATTATATCAAAATCTATAATTTGTAGATCATATTATCATTTTTTCTCTCTTCTTTTGTAAATTTCTCCATAAGACATTTTAAAATCAAGATTACAAACTTTCACGTTTAATCAGATCCGTTGATTAGTATGCCTCTCGGAAAAAACTAGATCTAAAAGAATGTTGGTTTTGACCTGTGATGTTGCTAACATTTGAGTTAATTTACTTTGTGAACTTTAGATTTCTAAGATTGAATATTGCTTTAAAGTTTAATTAAAATGTTGTTGTGTTAACATATGTCTTTTTTATCATATTTTAAGCCTCAACTATTTGGATGAGATTTATTTGTTTACAAATTACAACCCATATCATTATCAAATTTCAAAAAATATACTTATAATACAAAAGTCATGTGTTTGGCCAACGTGAAAATGGTTTTGAGTCGATATATAGTCCCATGATTTTTCATTTTAACATAGATTTGATTTGTTCAATATTCTAAATACAAGGTAGTTGGCCCATGCTCTCCATGGGCATGAGTCATTTTAAAAATAGAATTTATCATCTAAAACAAAATTATTTATAATTTAAAATGTTATCATAAAAATATATAAAAAAATTCAGTAATTATGCTTTAAATAATAAAATTAAAGTAAATGTTTTGGAAGACTACTTTATGCACTAAATTAACCAAATTTCATATAATTTTTATTTTCTTTCAAAATATTCAATATACCTATCTTATTAATGTAGTGCACAAAATTATGAAAATTATTTCAAGTTTATTATCTATGATAAAGTATAATAAATTTTAACGATTATATCCATCTTTTCGTGTAATCTACAACATATCCATCATTTTATTTTCCTTCAAAAAATATATCCATTTTTATTTGTCTTCTTCTTTTATTCAAAATTTTCTTCTTTTTATATTCTAAATATTTTTATTGATCATCTTCATATCCGCTTTGTATATTCATTTTGGTACCTTGTGCGGGTATAATATTTTCTAAACACATTAATTAATTACAGATTTTAATAATATGAGTAGTGGAATCTTTATTTGTATTCATTGTTTTTGTTTTCGTCAACTTCTTATGTTTGTAATCTTTATGTGTTTTATTTTTGTTTTCTCTTTCCCATTCTTCTACATAATTTTCTTTGTTCTCTTTAAAAAATACAAAAGATTTTCCACTTCTTGTTTTCTTCTCCCTCTTATTCTTTTCCACTTATCTCATGTTCTTCTTTTTCTTTCAGTTTTATATTCGTTCTCATCATCTTCTTCTTCCAGTTTTTCTTCTTCATATCCTTCAACTCACTCTTATTTTTTTTCTTTTTAAATTTCTCTACATTCTTTATCCGATTTTTCTTCTTCCTCATTCCCGTCGCTCTATCTTTATCATCTTTATCTTCTCATACATCATATTATTCTAATTTTTATTTATCTCCTCTTTGTATTATTTCTCCTAACATTCCACTTTTCTTCTTTGATTTCGATTTCCTCATGTTTGGGTTTTTTTTTTCTTCTATAAATTTCCCATCTTCTTTTTAATTGTCTTCTTTTATTTTTCTCGTGTTTTTATTCGTTCTTTTCTATGTCTTGTATTTCACTTATCAATTCATTCGATAGTTTATATTTTCAAGGATTTGTGAAATAGTTATTATCTTCATATGGTCGAAATCTTTTAAAATTATAATGGTTTTGTTATCTTTCGATTCTGAATTTTCTTTAATTGTTTTTTTTTCTATTTTTAAATGTAATTTAAAAAGCTAGACATAAATTTATAATCAATAATTTTTAATTATAAAATTCTTTCATAATAATTCGAATTTTTAAAAATGCACCAAAAACTAAACCCTACACCTACCAATATAAACCCTACACCCGAAACCCAAACCCACACTGTAACAACCCCCCCCCCAAACCGTACACCCTAAACGCAAACCCTACACCACCCCCCTTAAACAACATTACACCCTAAACCCAAACCCCATATTATAACACACCCCGCAAACCGCACACCCGAACCCCACATTTTACAAAATATGGTTATAGATTTGCTTTTATTTTATTTTATTTTTCTTAAAAGAAGTTTTTTTTTGTTTCTAATCAGTAATGTAGTCTATTCAAATCTTTTTAAATGCACCAAAATCTAAACCTTACGCCCATCAATATAAACCTTACATTATAAACCCCAACCCCATTTTATCTTCTTCTTCTTTTACTTTTTACTTTTATTTTTTACTTTTTTCAAATTTTTTCCTTTCTTTTCTACCGTTTTTTCCGTATTCTTATCAAACTTTATATTCTCTTTTTTTTTCCTGTTTCTTCATCATCATCTTTTTATTTCCTGGTTTTTATTCGTTTTCTTCATTTTATTTACAATTTATTTTTCAATTGGCTTTGTGTTATTATTCTTCATTTTTTTTATCTTTTGATTTTTCCAACTCTTTATGGTTCACATATTCTTCGATTCCTTTCTACTTTTGTTTTTTCCGTCTTGGTCTTCCAACTTTCATATTTTACTTATTTTTATTCAGTTTTTTTTCTTCTTATTTCATCTTCTATTCTTCATCATTTTGTATTATCAATCTTTTTTCTATTTTGGCAACATCTTTTTAATCAGTTTCATCTTCCTCTTTATTTTCTTTTATTTATTTTTCTCATCTTCTCATATTTCTTCTTTGTCTCCTCATGCCTTTTTGTTATTCTTTTTGAGTTGTACTTCTTTTATCTTCTTTATTTTATATGTCTTCTGTAACAAATTAGTTTTCTATTTTTCTTTGTATTATCTTTCGTTTTCCTTATCCTTCGATTTTATTTTTTCAATTTTTTCTTCTTACTCTCGGCTCTTATATTCTTCTTCATCATTATATATGTTCTGTTATCTAAATCCATCTTTTCGGGGTGTTATAATTTGCTTCTTCTTCATGCTGTTCTTCGTCTTCCTGGTAATATATTTCAGTATTGTTTTAGTTGAAGACTCTTGATTATAAACAATCAAATACCTCAAACTCTTACATGTACTGATTCCATAAGGAGTCCTAAACAGTAAACCATAAGGAGTCACAAACCGTAAAATAATTTCCGTATCCACTTACATTTTCTTTTTTTACCTATAACAACTATCAAAGAACATATTGTTATACTGATATTAGTTATTTTGAGGAAGAAGATGTTTATTGTCTTACAAACTTGTTGTTGATTTACTTGTTTTAGTTTTTTTAAAAGAAGTTATTATTTTTCTATCAAATCTTGTAAGAAAAGAAAATATTAAAAGGGGGATTAGATACATAAACAGTTTCCGAATATGTGTCATAATTCTTCAATATATATATCTACCTACTAAATAATCATTGTAGTGTGTATGATCTTTGATTTTTGAAAATCAACGAAATTGAAGAAGTTTCTTACGCTCGCAAAAAGATCTTTGTGATGATTGTTGTTGGCATCAAGTATATTCGATTTAGATGCCAAGTAGCTCTACAATGTCCTGTCTGAATAGTTACATCGAAATTCTTGATGTGAATCCAATCTCCCTCGTTGACCTTGCAATCATAGGCGTCGTAAACGGAAACATGCACAGTTGCTTGAATCTTCTCTCCCTGTCATATTTATCATACATTAGTTATAAAGATGAATACGGTTTCAATGTTATCTATCATAGAGTTTTTATGTTTCAGCCGATACCTCTTCATCAGATAGGATAATCTCTAATCTTTTAGCAGAAGTTTGGTAATCGTTAATCCATAAACGCAAAATCTTGACCAAAATCCCAGATTCGTGTGTCCTCGGCCCGGTATACCTCTTCCTCAAGGCCTTATCATACGTAAATAGCTTTTTGTAGGTGCCTGAATCAAGAAAGTTTACAAAATATTTTTACGAAATCGGCTGTTATAAGAACTAATACGATTAATGTTCAAAAAAAAAAAAAAAAAAAAAAAGAACTAATACGATTGATCTAAAACCAAAAACCAAAATCCTTTTCGATAAGTTTATTCGAATTAGGGTTTCATGAGATTTAAGTTGAAAATAAAAACGAAAGATGTACATACCATCAATTTTTGTCAATGCACTTTTTTGAGTTGGTACCATAGTTGATTTCTTTGACTCCATTAGCTACCAAACCTGGAATTTACTGTTACAAAGGTAAAGGAAGTAGAAGTTAGATGCAAATCTTTGAATACAAAATTTCAGAAAATAACGAATAATCAGTTAAACATTAGATCTAATATAACTAAGATCTAGCAAAAACTATAAACCTACATGACAAAATTTCGAAGAAACGAAAATTCTGTTTATTTTGCTTATTACAATCTATTTATATAAATAGGACTAAGTGGGTTGTAAAATTTGGGTTTTTTTTTAAAAATATGTAATTATTTGATTTCTTCCAAAAAAATGGCGCGGTAATATGGTAGTTAGTATATTTATTTAAATGATAAATATAAATCGAGAAAAAAAGAAAAGGATAATTATCAATATTAATAAAGAAATAATGAATTTTTATATAAAAAAAAATAAAATCGTGAAATAATTAAAAAATGAATGCAGAAGATTTAATAATAGATTTCCATTAAGGGCATCTCGGTAATTCGGAAGACTTAATGAATTTAATTCAGAAGATTTCGAAAAAAGAAAAGGATAATTATCAATATTAATAAAGAAATAATGAATTTTTATATAAAAAAATAAAATTGTGAAATAATTAAAAAATGAATTCAGAAGATTTAATAATAAATTTTCATTAAGGGCATCTCGGTAATTCCGCGGCTGAGAGGTAACGTGGTGGTTCCATTTGAAATTCTAACTTCGCAAATACTAATATGATGATTATTGGACTTGTTGAAGAAATATTATAATATTTCAAAAAAATGATAATATTTAAACATTTACCGATAAAACCTAAAATTATAGGCCTGTTCGTTTGGGAGTCGCAGGGCCTCTGCGATTGCGATTGCGATTGAATATTGTTTTAAATTTTAGTCGCAGCCTTTATTCAGCGACGCGATTTTAAAACGTGCGACTGAATGCGGTTAATGGCATAAATAACCTTATTTTTGGTGATAATTACAAAAAAAAATGGTTAAAACCTAAAGAGCATCGTGATTGTGATTCTTCTCTTCAGAACCCTTTTTTCCTTCATCGCCATCTCTGTCTCTCTCGATTTCTCCAGGAATCTCTTGCTCTTTGGTGGTTGTGAGGTTGAGCTCAGAATCTGATTCTATCCTGCTCGTGGGTTCTTCTTCCGGTAAGGATTCTGAGCTGATTCTTTTTATTTGTGTTTGATGGGTTTCTCTAATTCGAAACCTTATAAATCTGACATGAAAGATACTTGTTTCAATTGTTTTAGATGTTATACAATTGTTGTGGAATGTTATCACCATGCCCTTTTGCTTTTTATGGGTTTCTTTGCATTTCCTGCTCTTCATCGATTTCATGTCATGTGCTTATGGTTTGCTGTGTTATCAGTTTCTCTTTAGCGCCTGGAAATTTTTCGAATTTGGAATCTTTGCTCCCTCCCTGGTTTCGAATATGCAGAGTTTTATGTTTTTTTTTTTTTTTTTTTTTTTTCAAGGTTTTAGCAAGAATCACACTCAATAAGAAGAATGACTAATGATGTAAGTTTCTTTTATACTCATTTTTGCTTGATTCTGTTAATGTTTTTGTCTGCTAGCTATTCTAGTAGCTAATGAGGGTTGTCCTTTAGAAATGGACGGATGAGGAGTGTCCTTATTTCTTTGATCTATTTGAGGGTGAGGAAAAAAGGGGAACAAATCAAAGGCTGGAATGAATCAAACTGCCAAAGACTTCATCGCTAAGAAGTTTGAAGAGAAATTTGGGAAGAGATATGTATGGAATATATTCAGGAACAAGTATGATACTAGTAGAAGAATCTATGCAAGATACAATAAACTAATTTATAATAGGACTGAACTTGGCTATGATGCTATGGGAAGAATTGATATGTCTGAAGATTGGTGGGAAGAACGTAAAGAGGTAAACGATACTGTCTATATATGGTTCTTAAAGTATTTGTGAACATATACCTGAGGTTTGATATTCGATATTAGTGATGTTCCTGTAATAGATATGAGTAGTCATTTTGAGTCTGCAAAACTGTGATGAGAATGTTGTTTTAACGAAGGTTTCATGCTTGTCTTTCTGAGTTTAATGTGCTGTCCTAAGGTTTGCAAAAGAGTCGATCAGACCAGAAGAAGGAGAGTTCACAAAAGTAAACCCAGTTTTGAGGAATAATGATCGATATTATCCGTTTTTAGGGATCGTATTGGAGCATTGGATGGAACTCATATCCCGGTTCGTCCTCCGCCACGAAGAGCAGAAACATATAGAGGTAGAAAGCTGAAGCCTACAATGAATGTCCTTGCTATATGTAACTTTGATATGAAGTTCATATATGCATATGTTGGTGTACCTGGTAGAGCACACGATACGAAGGTGTTAACTTACTGTGCGAAGAATGAGCTTTATTTTCCACATCCTCCAAATGGAAAGTATTATTTAGTTGACTCTGGATATCCCACTAGGACAGGGTATCTTGGTCCGCATCGTAAGGTTCGGTATCATCTTAATCAATTTGCTAGAGGAGGACCACCGACAAACATGAGAGAGCTTTTCAACCGAAGGCATTCAGGTCTACGGACAGTGATAGAACGAACATTTGGGGTGTGGAAAGCAAAATGGAGAATTCTAGACGGTAAACATCCAAAATATGGTCTAACTAAGTGGATAAAGCTTGTAACAGCAACAATGGCACTACACAACTTCATACGTGATTCACATCGAGAGGATTCAGATTTTGTACGCTGGCAGGAAAGAGAAGGATATCATACTCACGGTGACGACGGGACGATAGTGATGGTGGTGATGTGATGATGATGATGATGATGATGATGATGATGATGGTGATGGTGGTGGTGGTGGTGGTGGTGGTGGACATACTTTGTATGAGCCGGTCGGTGATAGAGCTATGGAAGGTATACGAGAGGTCATCACAAATGATATTAGTAGGGGATGTCGTTTAACTTATTAGTAATAACTTTTTTATTTGTTTGGTTTTTGGTACACTTTTTTATAATCTTATGATTTGCGTGATTTTTGGTTTATAAATTTTGTAATACATTTATTGCATTTCAGTTTACAATATTGTCATTAGAAAATATAACATTTTCATGAAAAATAGTAATTTTAGCATTTAAAAAAATAAAATCGTGCGTTCAATCGCAGCCTCTCACACATACAACGAACAACGTTGCGACTGATCGCACGACTGATCGCACGACTGAGAAACGAACAACATCCCGCGATTATTAAATCGCAGTCGCAATCGCAGCCGTAGTCGCAGTCGCTAGCGATTACCAAACGAACAGGGCTATATCTTCTCCAAGTATTTATAGGCAAACTTATTCATCAATTAGAAGCGGAACTTTACGAGTAAAAGCGCGCCAAGAGAACCGGAGAGAACAAAACCCTAATTTCGCCGACAAGAAAACATGCCGGAGCTTCCGGAGGTAGAGGCGGGGAGGAGAGCGATAGAGGAAAACTGTCTAGGGAAGAAGATTATGCGAGTCATCATCGCCGACGACAGCAAAGTGATCGATGGAATCTCACCGTCCAATTTCCAAACCTCAGTCCTCGGGAAAACCATCGTCTCTGCTCGTAGAAAGGGGAAAAACCTCTGGCTCGAGTTAGATTCCCCTCCGTTTCCTTCTTTCCAATTCGGTAATTTCTCTGAAACCAATTTAGGGTTTTCACCATTTCACCCAAATTCAGGGCTTTTGATAGATAAAAATCGAACATTTGACAAAAATGAATAGTTCAATTCTCGGCCTTTTAGACATTGATGAATAAGAAAGGAGTGAAAGTGTAAAGCTTTATCGTTTCTTATAACCGAAATTTGGTTTTGGTTTGAGTGTTTCTTCAGGTATGGCTGGGGCTATCTATATCAAAGGCGTTGCAGTTACTAAATACAAGAGGTGAGATTTATAGAGTCCGTGAAGCCATTATAGTATTACTTTTGCTTCGTTAAAAGTATAAGATCAATATTAGAACAAGATGGATATGTATTTACATTATTTTTATATAGATCTGCTGTAACGGACTCAGAGGAGTGGCCATCCAAGTATTCAAAGTTCTTCGTGGAGGTTGGTTGTGATATTTTTAAGTCTGATTATTGACCCGAAAATGTACTCTGTACTTGCTTCAGTGACAACGAATTTTGTGTTTTTTTATTGTGCAGCTTGAGGATGGTTTGGAGCTTTCATTTACTGACAAGAGGAGATTTGCCAAAGTTCGACTCCTAGAAAATGTATAAATGCACAACTAACTCTATCTTGCTTTTCTTGATTAAGCTTTATATTTGGCTGATTATTTAATTTGGTGTTTGCTATGTGCAGCCGGCTTCTATGCGTCCAATATCGGTGATTGGTCCTGATGCATTGTTAGAGCCTATGACTCTTGATGAATTTGAGAAGAGCTTAGCCAAAAAGAAAATGACCATAAAACCTCTCCTACTTGATCAGGTTTAGAGTCTCTTTCATTGTTCTCTCACATGTGTTTCATTGCAGAGTTTTGATTATGTATCTCTTCTCTTTTCCAGGGCTTTATTTCAGGTATTGGGAACTGGATCGCCGATGAAGTGTTGTACCAAGTAAGTGAGCTTTAAAGCCTCTTCAAAACTTGAGATTTAGTGAATTATCTATGTAACCACTCATTTGATTCACAACGTATCCACTTTTGTTTCCAAATTTGCACATTATATGACTCAGTGTACATGCTGTTGCATTAATTCTGCTTGTCTTTCTCTTTCGCAGGCCAGAATCCACCCGTTGCAGACTGCTTCTAGCCTCTCCAAAGAGCAATGTGAAGCTTTGCACACATCCATCAAAGAGGTAAGACTCTTATAAACCCTCTAAAAAACAGTACCTACAAAGCATGGGGATGACAGAAGGATCCGTTAACGTGCATGATGCAATGCGTATTTGGAATTTAGAGAGAGAACAAAAAATCGCATTTGTAGGTCATTAAACATGCGGTTCAAGTCAATACTGAGTTGATGAAAAGCTTTTCTATGTATAGTTTTGGTGAACCGGGGAAAGTTAATGGTAAGCTTTTCTATGTATAGTTTTGATGAAAAGCATAATTGGGTTTGTGCAGGTGATTGAAAAAGCTGTGGAAGTTGATGCAGACACTACTCAGTTTCCTAGTAACTGGGTTTTTCATGCTAGGGAAGGCAAGCCAGGAAAGGCTTTTGTTGATGGTCTGAATCTGAATCCCAGATTTCACACTCCAAAACTCTTTATGTAGCTGCAACAGTTCATAAAAATGCTCGAACTAAAGTTGATAGTCCCACAATGATGGCTTCACGAGAGTGAATTGTGATGTAAATGAATGATGTGATTGGTAATGACTAATGAAGTTTGTTATGGTCATTGCAGGGAAGAAGATTGATTTCATCACTGCTGGTGGAAGGGTGAGTATCTAATTATCTACATGCTTTTTTTGTTAGGCATTGTTATTTTGTGGGTGAATGATTCATGGAGTGAACTGAATCAATGTTTTTTTTTTTTTTTTTTTTTTTTTTTTTTGTAGACAACAGCTTATGTCCCAGAGCTGCAGAAACTCACTGGAAAAGACGCTGGGAAAGCAGCCAAGGTTAGACCGGGTAAAGGAGGTGTGAAGTCAAAAGAAGACGATGGAGATGGCGAAGAAGATGGACAAGAATCCGAGAAAGAAGATGATAGTGCTAAACTGAAGAAAGGACAGAAACAGAAACCAAGGGGTCGTGGTAAGAAGCCTGCATCGAAGAGAAAAACAGAAGACAGTAACGACGATGATGCTGATGGGGAAGATGATAGCGAGGATGAAGAGAAAGTAACGAAACCCAAAGGTCGTGGCACAAAGCCTGCGGTGAAGAGGAAACCTGAAGAGAAAGCTGCTAGCCAAGCTGGTAACAAGAAGGCAAAGGGAAGAAAAAGTTGAGAATCCAACGGGTCCAAGATGTTTATTTTTTGTTGGTAGCTAAGGCTAATCTCTATTAGGCTTTGTGATACTACTACTATTACTAGTTATGTTAGCTGTTTTGATGTTTTGTTGGTTACCTTTGTCCTTGTTTGATGAATTTCGAAGTCAAGAAAAACCCTCGGACAGTAACAACTTTCTCTGGCCTGTATACAAAGTTCAAAATTTAGAAAGATTCAGAAGAATCAAAGCCGAGCGCCGAGCAGAGCTCTTGTGTATCAACATACCAGTCTTCCTGAGGCAAATGTCCAACACCTTCGATGATGAGTCGAAGCTTGACATTTTCAGGGTTCTGCTTCTCAAATTCCTCTGCTATAGACTGAGGCAAGTATTTATCAGCTATTCCCCAAGCCAGAAGCATTGGTTTATCCCACATGTGAAGTAACCAAATCTCAGCAAAGAACCAATCCTGTCTCTAGTCATGTGAAGGAATTTGGGAAAAAAAAGTGGAGAAATGCATGTACCTGCCTGATGAAAAGCCATTAGCAATTTGACTCGAGGTGTCTCCAAAATTGATCATTTCGCAGTCTCGAGCAAGCTAACACATCAGAAACAAGAGTAACGTGTATCATTCTTCATTCATTGAATTTGGTTTATACACGTACCAAAGCCAGGTCCTCCACTTGACAAATACGGTAGACGATAGACATCACCTTTCTCATTCTTCAGGACGTAGCTATCAAAACAAGATATAGGTTAAGCGGCCTCTATCAAAATCACCAAGCACATATGTAAGACACTATTGGCACGTGAAGGTAATGGTTCATCTGATACATACGGGCTACCTTCTTCAATGAACCGCTCGGCCAAGATAGCATTTTGGCACGTAAATTCACCAGAGAGAATAATTCTGCATCACAAAGAAAATGTCACACAAGTAAGATTGTGAGAGGCAACAACATCAAGGCATTAGGCTGATGCTTCCAAGCATTTACAGCGGTCAAGATAGAGAGAGAGACGAACCTCAGCTGCTTAAATAATCTGGGAACTGGTGATGAAACGGTCAGTGGAGTATTAAGTATCTCAAGTTTCTCAATCTTGCTTTGCTTTTTCAATGCCCATGTTAAACCATATGAACCTACAAGAAATCCCTTGGGAGACCACAACAAAAAATGCAAACATAAAGTTATATGAAACAGTCTTGATATAACCGTAAAAGACATAATGCAGAAATGAGATCTTAGTACACACATCCGAACCTGAACAACAAGAGAGTGTTAAGAACCCAAACCCTAAAATCCTCTTCTTTATTAGAATAACACCGATTACAATAGATAGGTAGATAGAAAGCACTGGATAGATAGATAGATAGATAGATATATAGAAGCACTCAGCAATCTCATTCAAGCACTCTCAAGATCTCATAGCAATCTCGTTAACAGACTCATAGCGCCTAGGTCAAATTACAACTAGAATATTCAGCATGATAAGTAAAGAGGCAAAGCAATGTATTTATACTAAAGCAATATAAAAGACTTTCCTTTTCTTCGTGACCTAATCTAAAGTGACCAATTTGCACTTCACGAGCTAAGCTTCTCCTTCTCCACGCTTAAGTCGGCACTAAACATCCTATCATAATCCTCACCACACATCTAAAACACTCCCTCTTCCCCATAACTCGATCGCACAACCCCTTGGGAGAAACGGTCAGTGGAGTATTAAGTATCGCAAGTTTCTCAATCTTGCTTTGCTTTTTCAATGCCCATGTTAAACCATATGAACCTACAAGAAATCCCTTGGGAGACCACAACAAAAAATGCAAACATAAAGTTATATGAAACAGTCTTGATATAATCGTAAAAGACATAATGCAGAAATGAGATCTTAGTACACACATCCGAACCTGAACAACAAGAAAGAAAGGAGATTTAACTTCCAAGACTTCCAAAAGTTTATCAAACGCCTCATGGTACTCTTTTTCTGTCAAGATTGAAAAACTTATTAGAACCATGAACCATACACAAACCATTATTGATGGTAATCTCAACAAAACCTGTGTAATTAAAGCCATATCCATGGTGGAACATAATTGAGTTTGTTCTAACATTAATCTCTTTTAGTAACCGTTTGACGGTTTACTTTTGATAGTTTTAGTAAAGAGATATAAACGCGAAGAGACACAACTCTTTGTGTCTTAGTGTCTGTTTATGATCTATATAAAAAATTGCTCGTTAATCTTCTTCCTAAGAAGAGAAGAGATACTCTTATCTCTTACTCTGTTTTGTCTCATTCTCTTCTCTCTCTGTTTTCTGAATCAAAATTCTAACAATCCAGGCTGAGGTTTGTCACTGAATCCGAATCCTATCCAGTCAGGTGAAAAGCAATGAAATCCAGCTTCTGACATCTATTACATCGTTGAAAAACACACAAGATTCAACTGCATACTCAAAATCGTTTTATTCGACTACTCAAGATTCAATGTAGCACCTGAGACATGCCAGTCCGGAAACTAAAAGACTGAGTCGGAGCTCCATGAAGACAATGGTTCCTCGACGACTCTCCTTTGATCCTACCCGGAAAAAGAAAAGGAAAATGATACAAGCCAACTCCTTAGATCTAGCTCGTGTCGTAGGCCCTAGGTATGCAGTCGTGAACACAAGAGAAATAAGAACTTAAGCTTCCTTTTAACCCTAGTCTCTCTCTTGAGACTAAGGTTAATTGCTGGAAGATGATCTTTATTGAATAGAAGAGAGCCCTTTATATAGGTGATCGCGGGATCAGGTCTTCCCCTTTCCTATCCCTGATTCTGCAAGTGCACAGGTCAGAAGTAGTAAACGGGTATCGAACACAAGGACCAGATTGCACACTACAAGTTATGAGTTTGAGATCAAGCTAGGGCAAAAGTATAAGTTGGTTGAGTGCAGAGAAAGTAAAGCATGCAAGTAATAAAGAAAGTGAGATTCAATAGGAGAGAAAGGCTAAGCAATAGGATAGTCTTGAGATAAGCAATTCAAGAAGCATGAAATCAATCAATTAGGGTTACCGCACTTAGGTGCTAATCTAGAACTTGAAACACTATGGTATGATCATTCCACTGTCGAGGCTCCGACCCCTTTGTTAATCTACCTAGTCGCTAAACTTTTGGTATGTCCCTAGGTGATTAAATCAAGCATTAGTTCGATCAAGATCAATTGTTCACAACCTACAAGTAGATCAACTGTCGCAGTCTAAAAGAGATTGCCCACCAAATACTAGTTCAGGCGAATGATACAGCACTGTCGAGGCTCAAATCAACCTAAAGGCATATGCTAATTGGCCAGATTAACAACAAGCATTAAGTATAAGCAAAGATGGAGATTATAAGTAAAACCCTAATTGTGATCAATCATCAAGCATACATGAATGCTATCCTTTGACTTCCTATCACTTAACAAGTAAACTACTCAGACATAGAGAAGGAACACGAATTCATATTCATAAGAACAGAGATTCGAATCCTCTCTAGAAAGAGTAACAAGCAAGAACAAAGTAAAAGCAAGCAAAACTTTATTAAGATGTAAAATAGATTGTGGTCTCTCTCCTTCTTGAGTTACAAGGCTAAAAAGAAGTATTTATAATGCTCTAAGTATGAAAAGCGGCTAAACCTAATCTAGCTAGGTCGGCGCCGGCTTTGGGCTTGAATTGTGCGGATTGGGCTTCAAAAACGGCTTCGGGTCGACCGCGGCGTTCGGACGGTCGGTCGGGACGATCGGCCGGACAGTCGGGTCTTGGCCGAGTCGGAACGGTCGTGGCCGGATGATTTCACGGTCGGCCGGTGTGGTCGGACGGATGAGGAATTTGGCCGATGGTTTCTCGGCCGGACGTGGGACGTTCTTTCCCGGCTCGGACGGATGCATCGGCCGTGGTACGCGAGTGGTTGCGCGGCCGCGAGGCTTGTTCCCGGCTCGCGCGGCTGGTCGTGCGCGGCGTGGCGTGAGTTGTGGCTTGGCCGACCGCGGGCTTAATGTTTCCCGGGTCGTGATTGCGTGATCGGCCGGTGGTTTGGACTTTGGCCGAGACTTCAGTCGGACGGATATGTTTTGGCCGAGCGCGGAACATTCGTTCCTCGGCCAGCCGGACTGCGCGGTTGGGCGCTGATTCTCGATAGCCGTCTGGAGCAGTCTTCACTCTTTTGGCTATAACTCCTTTTCTACTCATCCAAATGAGGCCGTTCCAGTTGCGTTGGAAAGTTAACTCAATCAGAGCACGCAGGGAACTGGTCTTGATGAAATCCATTGAGTAGATCTTTTTCTAGCTCCATCCAAAGTTGATGCAGGGGCATTGAACTGGTTTAGAGTCCAAATCCTCTGTTTTGCTCCATAATGCACCTTTTTACCTAAAATGACTCTTTGCACTATAAATCCATAAAAACTACCTTTTAACACAAGAATCCACTAGAAAACCATTAGAAAACCATAGTAAAATAGCATAAAAAGTAGGTAAAATAGAGGTATATCAATAGGCCTTGATACAAACTAGTTTCTTAAAAGGAAAAGGAAAGAAAGCTACTAAGTTAAAACTTAAAAGGAAAAACACCAATTTCTAATCGTAATAGGAAAAGGATCTTAATCAACTTTTCCTTTTGACCTCAAAATGATACTTAAGACCAGAGTGTGTATCATTTCTCCCCTCCTCGACTAAGAGCTTGTCCTCAAGCTCCAATTCTGGAAATGCTTCCACTAGCTTCTCTGCGTCTTCCCATGTAGAGTCATCGGCTGCATCATCAGTCCACTTCGTAAGTACCTGCCGAACACCATTCCACAACCTTGCTCGTAACAGTTTGACAGGTTGATTCTATCCATTGTTTTCTGAACTCCTTCATGACCAAAATTATGGAATCCAGACACAAATCTCTTAAGGCTGGGCACAAGTACTTGTAACTTGCTCATTACCCGCTATTTACCCCGGACTTGCCCCGTATAATTGGGTACTTGCCTTGAGCAAGGCAAGTATCAAGTAGTAAAAAAAAATTACTTGCACGTACAAGGCAAGTACCAAGTAGATAAAAAAAATTAAATAATTGACCCGTGAGACCCGTGACCAGTTCGAATTATCTCCAAAAGGAAACATGTATATTTATAGTAGTGATTGGAGCTGGATGTTAATGATATAATGGATGTGGGACAAAAAATTGCACTCCTTCCTTTTTTCTATTTTGTCCCACATCGAAACATAAGTACAATAGAAGCTAACTTTTTATTTATAAATAGGAAATGTGACTTCCTCTCATTTGCCAAGCATTGGGCTACAAAGCGTCAGCTACTCTGTTTGTTGATCCAGATCGATGTTCTACTCCGAAATCGAATCCCAAAAGCTTACTTATCCAATATATCTGAGATGACGTTCAGAGGCGTTTCTCAAGAAGAAACTTGAGACTGTAATGGTCAGTTTTGATAAGAAAATGTTTTCCCTAGAGGTATGGCCGCCAATGGAGAACTGCTTTCGCAAGACCAATAAGCTCTCTTTCATATGCAGCCAACTTGAAATGTCGATCTGCTAGCTTCCGGCTAAAAAAAGCTATCGGATGGTCTTGTTGTTGTAATACAGCTCCAATACCACTCCCTGATGCATCACACTCAACAACGAACTCTTTTGTGAAGTCCAGTAACGCTAAGACTGGTGACTCAGATAGTGCTTTCTTCAAAGTAATAAAAGCAATGTCTGCTTCGTTAGACCAAAGAAACCCTGACTTTCGGAGAAGGTTAGTGAGCGGTGCAGCAATA